TCTTTAAAATCATGACTGATTTTAAAATCAGAGTTAAAATTCTGAACTATGTAATCATTCCCTCCCAGATATTATGTTACTGTAACGTAAGAAACTTCTCAGACGATTGAAGAGGGATGCCAATGAACCTTGCAGAGTCCTGCAGGGCTTGATGCCTTATTGGGATTAGCAGATTGCCTACATTATGGTATTGGAAATACTGAATTTGGGTGTGGATGTAGCAGAACTGGGAGCAATGGGGTGAAAAGCAATTAAGGGTGGGTTGTTTATTTGGGAGGACTCAAGGGAAAAAATAAGCACAGCAAAGTAAAGAGGAGGTGGGATAAAAGGGACAGTTCCCACCTATTGTCATATGAGTGTATTCTCTAGTCTGTGCCGTCGTCCCATAGCAGACCTGTGTGTCATGATAGCAGGTATCATCCTTTTGAGCTGAAAAGAGACTGCAAAGGCACTGATGTGTGGCCAAACTTCACCAGGGCTGTCTCAAGTGGCTAAAAGTCAATGGTTCAGAGCTGCTGACCACTGACCTCCTACCTGGCACATGACTTCATGTAAATTTTGAGGCCAGCACAGATGGCCAGCTCTCACGATTGTGCTTTTGCTGCACCTCCGAGACAAGCAAGATATTAGCTCTCTGCAGGAATACTGCACCCTCTGCTTCATCCTGATGCTTATTGGTAAGTCTGGGATGGGGCAGGCAGAAAGTGACTTGGGGGATGTAAAAGCTGGGCCCGGAATAATGCTGAGCTGATGTGGTAGGGGGAAGTAGCTGGTGTTCTGAACAGAAAGCTAGGTATTGAGGGGGTGGGGGGTGGGGAAGCATCACAACATGACTCATATTCACTGCCGAGCATCTCCCAAAGCCACCTGCTGAGAGGGCAGTGGTCCAGCTGAACCCAGCGCAGCCATTCACTGTGCGCCTGTTCACTGCTGCATCAGTGCTGTATTGCTGTATCAGTGCTGTATCACTGTACCACTGATAATCTCTGGACAGCCCATGAAGCGTGATAATGGCAGGATGGCTGTACCTTCAGAAAATATCTTCATCTATGTGATGATAATATATATGTGAAGAGGCTTTCTCTGCTTTTAGATGTGGGTTATAAATCAAAAATTTAAGCCTGACAAGACGTTCACAACACCTGGCCCAACCACTGGCTGTACCCATTCCTGGAAGGAAAGAAAAATTATATCATGGGCTGATTAACTTGTGTTTCTCAGCCCACGCAGCTCCCTGCAAGCCCTGGAGAGGCAGAGCGCTTTGCTGACAGACTTTGGGTACCCCATAAAATCCTCCCCCAAAAAGATATGGATGCAGCAGCTGCGTGTTGCTGAGAACTGACTCCTATGCATGGAGCTGCAGCAGATGGGGTGGTGGGGTGAGGTGTGCTGCAAACAGGCTGTGCTTGAAGAGGGGAAGGGGCCACAGGTCCAGCGCCTGCTCTCACTCCATGAATTTGTCCCTTCCCCTTTCCTCCAGGGAGAAACCTGGCTGTCCTTGTTGAAATCCATCAGGATTCAATCAACGGCACCGCAGGTCAGTCCGTGCTCCTGCCCATCTCCTACAGATTTAACAGTGCCCCTCACTTCCCCGTGTCAATTGTCTGGATGTTCAGCAACAGCAGGGATGTACTCATCACCTGCACAGTGCTGAACTGCTCCCTGGATGCCGGGGGGGCTCCCAGCAGCTGCATTGCAAACCATTTCCCCCATCACACGTACCAGAGACATGCTGAGGTCTTCCCGGAGAATGGGTCCCTGCTGCTGCAGCACCTGCGGCTCAATGACAGCGGGGTTTACAGTGTCAGATTCAGCTCACCTTACAAAACCTGGCGTGTCACCCTGACTGTGCATGAGCAGTGTTTCACCCCTGAACATCCAGGTGAGTGTAAATATGAGGTCAAACCCTGTACCTGAGCCCAATGAATCCCACAAACAGGCCTTGGAGATAGGAGTCCAAGGTTATGGATTAGACTCGCCATCCTGTCCTCCATTTGTGTCCTCTAACCCTATCTCCACATGCTCACCACTATCAACACCTTTCAGGAGGGCCCTGGTTAGAGGTGTCATGTCTCAGGCAATGAGAGGTTCATATTCCCATAACACATCTCATAAAAAGTAATCTTTATGCCTAGGGCTACAATTAGTGCAGTTAGCAGGGTGGAATCAGGAACTTTGTTTTATGGGTTGGACCAGATCAGGGTCCTCTTTGCTGTTTCCCTGAAAAATCAGAGGTGATGGGAAGCATTATACAGCATCGCCATTATCAGATGTGCAGGGCAAGCAGCAGAGCTTGATCTCACCAGCAACAGGAGGAGGAGGAGGATCCTGCAAAGGCAGGCAGAGGGACCTTTACCTCAGGACACCCCCTGGACAGGGTGTGTGTTTTGTGCTGTGCTCAGGAAGGGACACGGGACTGCACACTTGGTCTGAGAGGCACGGAGGGCCCTCAGCTACTCTGCTCTGCACGGGACAGGAGGAAGCTTGGGGATGGCACTGTACCCCTACAGAGATGTCCCATAGGCACCCGAGGAAGGTGAGAACCCCAGGAGATACATAGCAGACAGGAACAAGGGGTGTGCATTTGGGTCTTGGAGTAGGATTCATCTGCTCATCCAGCAGCAGTGCAGGCAGCTACCTGTGTCAGGCTGCCCATGCCAGCCTCAGGCATCGGACATGAAGAAGGCTTAGCAGCCAACCATGCCCAAGAGCTTGCCATCTCTACCCCAGGTGCTGGGCTAGGAGGAGGAGGAGGAAGGAATGCCACTTTTGTCCCTTGCTACATCTTGGGAGGCTGCTACTTCTTCATCCTGCTGTTCCTGCAGCTGATTTTCTACCTCCGATGGCACAGGGTGAGTGCGCACCTCTCCAGGTGAGGTGCCTTGGGCTCTCTGGTCCCATGAGAAGGCCAGAAATGCTGGGGATGGAGCCAGCTCCTCCACAGGAGCTGGGGTCAGCTGAACTCCACCCCATGGAGGGGATTTCCCTTTGGTGATGCTGCTCCCAGGAGTGGACCCATCACAGGGCCATGACCCACGGGCAAGCAGCGCCAGAGAGAAACAGGTGGTACATAGCACCCGGGATGTGGTCAGCCTTGGTGTCTTCTTTCACAGCAACAACCTGACAGTCTGGGGTAACTTCTGCTTTGTGCCCACAGCCAAACTCCTGGGAGGCATCAAACACAGTGTCCCACTCCGTCCAAGGGGCCGAGAGTGGGCAGAGTCAACTGCAGCCCAGAACAGCTCTGCAGCTACAGTGATGCTGCTTCTTGAAGCTTTTGGGGGCCACTCAAGAGGAGCAGGTGAATGTGCAAGAGCAATCAGAGGTGTTTTCCTAAGGAAGTGCTGCAGCGCCGGGCAGCAGCCTTACAGCAAAGCCTGTGCACATTAAATACACTGAGCTATTTCTGGAGGTTTGTTTTCCTTCTGTCACCCACTCTGGTTTTTCCCTTGGTGATGGAGTAGTCCCAGGAACCAGTAAACACAGCGGCTGTCCTGCTGCAAAGTGAAGTGCTTTGCACTGTGGTACCTCCCCCTCGCTTTGCACAAGCAAATGTGCCCGGGTTATGCCTGCTAATGGGGCAGAGGCCCAGGGTTTCCCCAGTATGAAATGATCTTCCAGTGGCCCCACAGGACTGGCACATCTTTCTTCCAGGGAGGGGACAGCGCTTCACCCCATACCCAGCCCCAGGGGCTGCCCTGCTGAAAGCCCCAGGCAGCAGCAGCCACTTTTCCCCAGTCAGTACCCACTCTCTAGTTAAATAAACACCCCTTCCTCCAACAGCCTGTTCCCCACAAAGGCTGAGGCTGCATCTGCAGCATCACTTTGGGCTGTTCCTGCAGCCAAACAAGAGGGGAGATAATTTTCCAAAGCTTCTGGTGAGCTCAAAGTGGTCAAGGCCCCTCAGCATGGGGCTGCCAGCAACTAGCGGTTCCCTTGCAGAATATTTGCTGATTGTCCCCTGAGGATGAAAGAGCAGAGACCCCTCGGCATTGTCAGTGCACTGTAAATCACGCTGGAATTTCCACAGAGCGTGTCCAGGGAGGAGGAGGTGACCCCACGTGTGTCTTGCAGTTTGGCTGCAGCTGAGAGTGCTGGGGAGGTTTGCAGCCCCGTTCCCCTGCAGCCGTGCTCACCCCCCACCGGCCCACCTCCCACCGCTGTGGCCACAACGCTGCGGTCAGCTCTGAACAGCAGCAACCACGATTGAAGATAAAATAGACAGATGGGGATCTGCTTCTGCTCTGACTGCCTCTCGGAGGGGGTGGCTGAGTGTGAGAGGCTCCAGAGCCCTTGCATGGCTCCCGCTCTCGCTAACGGGGTGCTGGCGTTCATTAACTTGGGGAGCAGGGCCTGCAGGGAAGTGCAGCCCTGGGGAGCTGGCTCAGGAGCAGAGGGGGCTGGTGGCTCCCTGGGTCAGAGCTGTCCCCATGCTCCCACATTGGAACCTCACACTCCTTCTCAGGCTCAGGTCCCCTCGTCCGCAGAAGCAGCTCCCTGGCACAAGCACAGCCACGTCTGGGCTTCCCCAGGCCCCGCTCAAGCAGCAATTCCCTCTGTGCAGGCCTGCAGCTTCCTCTCACCTCCGCCGGCTGGGCCCTGCCTGCAGCCCTGCCTGCCCAGGGAGGGCTTCGGCACCTCTGCTAGGTCCTGCTCTCAACCTGCCTGCCTGTGGATTTTCGCCCCTGGCTGGGAGCTTTGCAAACCCTTTTGCCCGGGTGAGGGCCAGCAGGAGCAGAGCCGGCCGTTCCCTGGGGCTCCACGGGCCCAGCTGGGCTGGTCTCTGGCCAGGACTCCCCCTCTTCCCTACAGCCCACCGCCAGCACTTGTAGCAGCCCCCAGGCTGCGATTGCCAAGCACAGGAAGAAAGCCTGGGCTCACACGCTCGCAAATAAACCCTGCAGTGCGCAGGGGACTGAGGAAGAGTCGCCGACTTCCTCCCCTGCTGTGGCGACAGCTCGGAAATGCTCGCCGGCACCCTCGGTGCGAGGCCTGGGGGGTACAACCCTGTGCCTGATACGAGGTGACTGGCCGGCCAGAGCTCCCCCTTCAGCTCCTGGGCCGGGGCTGGCCCCTGGCACCCAGAAGAGATGTCCTCTGGCCGGCACCGCTGGAGTCTCGGCTCCCTCCTGCTGCTCCTCGGTGAGTCTGGGCTCAGCTGGGGTCCCGGGGTTGGGGACGGGGATCAGCCCGGTGGAGGGGTGCCATGGAGGGTGATGCCGGTGTTGGCTCCTTGGGTGGGTGGCTGTGACAGCTCGCCTGTGGCCCCAGGACTGTCGTCCCCACAACATGTGCCATCAGGGACCTGTGCTGGTGTTAGTGCCCGGCAGGGTCATGGTGTCAGGGGCTGCTCCATCCACCCGTAGATGTAGAGCAGGAGAGAGCTGAGCCTTTGTGTCCCGCTTTCCTCTCGGGGCACAAGGAAAGGCACGGTGTGCTAAAGTGTCAAGGGACAAATAACGCTGAGAGTGTTGGATGTTTGGAGCCCATCTCCAGGGCTGCTGCCTTGGCTTACAGGCAGGCTCAGCCCACGTAGCTCCCTGCAAGCCCTGGAGAGGCAGAGCCCTTCACTGCCAGACCTCGGGTACCCCATAAAATCACACAACCCCCCCCAAAAAATATTATTGCAGCAGCTGCATGTTGCTGAGAACTGACTCCTGTGCTTGGAGCTGCAGCAGACGGGGTGGTGGGGTGAGGTGTGCTGCAAACAGGCTGTGCTTGAAGAGGGGAAGGGGCCACGGGCCCAGCCCCTGCTCTCTCTTCACTGATCTGCCCCTTCCCCTTTCCTCCAGGGAGAAACCTGGCTGTCCTTGTTGAAATCCATCAGGATTCAATCAATGGCACCGTGGGTCAGTCCGTGCTCCTGCCCATCACCTACAGATTTAACAGTGCCCCTCACTTCCCTGTGTCAATTGTCTGGATGTTCAGCAACAGCAGGGACGTACTCATCACCTGCACAGTGCTGAACTGCTCCCTGGATGCCGGGGGGGCTCCCAGCAGCTGCATTGCAAATCATTTCCCCCATCGCACGTACCAGAGACATGCTGAGGTCTTCCCGGAGAATGGGTCCCTGCTGCTGCAGCACCTGCGGCTCAATGACAGCGGGGTTTACAGTGTCAGATTCAGCTCACCTTACCAAACCTGGCGTGTCACCCTGACTGTGCACGAGCAGCGTTTCACCCCTGAGCATCCAGGTGAGTGTGAGTGTGCTGAGCACAGACATCTCCTGCCTTGCCCTGGCCATGCGTGCAGGAAGAAGCAGGTGCTGGCAGAGTGTTTGTACCTACTCTTGAAGGGATGAGCATTTGCAGTGAAGAAAGGATTTCCAGGGATGTCTTACATGGTGCTCTAGGTCTTTTCTTCTTATGACAGGAAACCCATCCTGTCCTGCACTGCCAGCTTCATCGCAGTATAATGGCTTCCTGTGCAGCTGGTTGTCTCTACATGAGAAATGCTCTTTTGCCAGCCTTGTGTTTACCCAGTGTAAATGGCAACAGATGAGAGAGATGGACCGAGAAACCTAAGCACTGTGTTTAGATCCTGTACTGGACTAAATCCAGTATTCACTGGGGAGAATAGAGTGCTCGGGGATAAATCAGTGGCCACATGGGCTAAGAAAAATATACCAAATGAATGCTATTCATGTCTGTGCAAATTGCATATGTCATATGGCTGTAAGCTAAGGTGGCAGCCTCAGTCCCTTTGGCTGGACAGGATCCTTCTTTAACCTGCCTGAGTCTGGCATGTTTATTCACCCTGTCACGCAGTCCTGACGATGTGCCTCATGCCCATCGGTCTTCCTGTGTTTGTCTCTTGTTCCCTAGCCTGGTTTATCACTATCTGCAGTCAACACAGGGGATTGGAAGACCTAATTTTGAATTCAGTAAATTCCCAATTCCCTCCCTGTGTTTTGCCTCCTCTGCTGGATCTCTGCCGTCACTCAAGGCATGAAACAGCACAGTTTTTTCATACAAATGACTCTTCCACAACTCTGCTGCCAGCTATGTACAAAATACATGAAATAATCTCCATGGTAGTATCTGTCATGGCTCAGTACAAATAGTTGTGTGTAGCACCTGAACGTCTGTGCCTTCTGTGCTAGGAGCAAGTTCTCTATCCCCTTCAGCTGTGCCGTGAGACATGCACATGACTCATACTCTCTTCTAGGTAGAAATATCCTGAGAATATTTTCTGGGCTGACATAAAAATTCCAGCCTCTGGCTGGCATGGGGTGATGCTGTCAGCTGTCTTCCCAGCAGTGCAGAGAGGGAACCCTCCTGCACAGCCTCTGCACTTCCACATGGCTTTGGAGGAAGATGGCCATCACAAACCCCAGGGACCTGTTATAGTCCTGCTTGGCTCCCCGCTGTGCACCCTCAGGTCCCAGGTCCAGCATCCCCAAGGGCTTTGGTGTCAGGGTCATAGCCACCCCCGTGGCACTGTGCGTGCAGCCCATGGGGTGCACACAGCGCAGGCAGATGTGCAGGCAGTCAGGGCATGGAAGGAAACTCAGTAATACTTGAGCAGCAAATGTGTCTAGGCTTTTTGCAATGCAGTATTTCCTTTGACCTGTGGGTTTGTAGTGCTGTTCTCCAATCCCAAGGAGAGTGCTGTAATCAGCAGGAATGCTTTAGAAAATGTAGTGAAACCACTGCAAGTACTTGTTTAGAAAACATTTGCACCACCTGTTTTCTTTCAAACATCAGACACCATGGGGCAAGACCACATCCATCACTTTGCAATTGGAATTTGTTCTTCAGTCTTCCTCCTTCTGCTACCCCTGCTCTTCTGCTGCATTCGGCATCGGGGTGAGTGGATCTGCTCCTGTTTTTTATCCCTCCAGATTGCATCCTCCAGCTCAACCAGGCATATTCTTGGGTGTTAAAGGTAGTGGAGGGCTCAGAAATTGCCTGGGTTCTGCTCTTTACACGACGATTACTCCTTTTGTACGATCACCTCTCAAATGTGCCACGTCCTTCCAGTTATAAGAGTAGCTGAATGGATTTCAAGTTCATAATGCAGCTTAAGGAAGCAAAAGCACAGCATGGGTCCATTGAAGTGGTTTTCTGGAGGATTCATACCTTCTGAGGCTGAGACCAGAATCAAGATACTGCAGCATAGCTAGTCTGTAAAAAAGGTACAATTTCATGGACTCTGAAATGCATCCTCTAAGTGTGGCCATGACTATTCTATTGTAGTTACTTTAAAACTCCAGCTGGGGAGAATACCTTGGGGTGTTTCCACTTAAAAATAAACCTACAAGGTGCATATCTCCGCAGCTTCCATCAGTGATGTCTTCAAAACTTTCATCCCTGAGGATGACTTTGTCAGGAGAAAAATTAATTTCTTTCCAAGGGGGAGATTTTGCTTGCACGCAGAGAAAGTAGCTACAGAAATCTCCATCTTAAAGGCAAAATCCACATCATCCCCATGGTGAAAGTGCCAATAGAGTAATCCTGGTTCCCCAGCGCTAGGAGAGAGGGGGGTGCAGATCATCAGTGTGTCTGCCAGATAATAAACGTCTCTTTTCCCTAGGTGCAGCTCAGCAGCAGAAGAGGATAAGCATCAGACAACAGCAGGTACAGGGGAAAATCTGAACCCCCTTGGGCACAGGCAGCTGGGTAACTGCTAACCACTGGCTTGAATAAGATGTACTGAGCTGCAAGAATCGTGTGCTGGATATAAAATTAGGAAGTTAATTCATTACTGTAAGGGAAGTCTGCACACTCCCTCTTCACCTCCCTCCCTGTCAGATCCCAAACCAACATGAACCTTACCTTCATGGCTCAGAAGCCCTGGGACAGCTTTGGCCAGCAGCAGCAAGGAAAATGCAGAACAGTAAATGCAGAACAGTAGAGCAGAGAATGCAGAGAAATGTGTCTTATGAATTTATATTAAAGCACTTTTCAGGGAGTGGTGTGGATGATCTAGGGGCTCATCTCACACAGAGTTTTATCTGTGAAAAATAGATAAAGCAGAGAGAAAGATGCAAAGAAGGAGACATGAGAGCAAGATGGCTTAAGTAATTTCTGTGCCTGCCTCCTTGTGCTGAGGAAGGTGACTCTGTGGGGGTGGCAAGTGTCCCAGAAGAACTAGAGTACTCCAGAGAGCATGGAGAGCATGTTTTGCAGACCCCACTAGCCTGCAGTTGTTTCCACACAAAGAGAGCTTTGTGAATTTTTTTTTCATGTGAAAATAGCCAAGGTTGAGGGTAGGGTCCCCACCCTGTACTCTCTGGTCTGGAAACCACAACAAAACTTCAGCAAAGGTTTTCATCCCTGTTTCCAGTGTCTGTCAAGCTCTCCCATCTGCTCTTCAGGCTGTGTCTGGTTTGTTTGTGTCTGGTTTGTCTGATTTGGGCAAAGTAGATGTCACCCTCCAGTATACCTGGTGGGCTGAGCCAGTTTTGCATCCGTGGGGTGGGAGAGCTGGGACTAATGTTCCCCCACAGCTACCATGGGTAAAGCCATCTGGGGTTTATGTAGCTTCTGCCTCTGTCAAATCCTTGTTGTCTACAAACAGTCAGTAGCTCTGGACCACTCCTGATCCCAACACAGCCTCTGGAGAAGGCTCTCATCTTTGATGTTTTCTTCGTACTTCTCTAGGTCTCAAGCATGGAGGAGTCCCACATGGAAAGCACTGTAGTGAGGGATGTGGCAACCATTTATGCCAGAGTTGGAGACAGCTTTGAAGAGCCACAGCCGAGACTGACATCAGAGGTCATGTACACATCCATAGCTTCTCCTGGTCCACCGGGACTGTACACTGGTTTTACTGTGGGAGCTGCCCCAAGCAGGAGTTTTGCAGAAGGTAGTCATGCCTCAAAGTAAAGAGGATGTTTTTGCCACTGATGCTGTCTCTGCTGATGCTGCACCCTCGGTACTCCCCCTCCAGCAGCTCTGCGCACTGAGCCTAGGCTGTGAAGGATTTGGAGCAACAGAGTACAGAAATGCATTAGTTTGCCTCAAACTGCAGACTCTCTTGAATTTGAGGGATGAATCGATTTTAGTTTCTCCTTGAGACTTCTTGAGAGTACAAAGACACCTGATGTAAGAGAAAGATGCCTAAGGCAAAGGCAAATCAACAGTTCGTCCATGGGAAGCTTGCTTCCATAGACTCACCTTAATTTGAGGGGTAATGGAGAGCATTAAATGGATTTTAACTGTATTTCCTAAGTTCACTACCAATAGTCTTGTCATATTAAAAGAATATATGAAGATTTGTTGTCCTTATTTTTATAAGTATGCCAAGTAATTGTTGAGTAGACTTCCTACAATGAAATTTGCTTGACCTCAGGATCCCAGAGCAACAGGATCCTCTGTTATTTTGTAATGGCCCTTTGAAGAAGCACAAGGAGATGTGTCTTTCTGTACACTGCATTTCCTGGCATGTAATGCCATTTCCTCAAAACTGTATGCATGGGTGGAAGAAAGCTAAACTGTGTAATCTTAGTTTAAATTTAAAAGGCCATGTCTCCCCCAGCAGCACCAGCATTTTCAGGCATCTTTAAAATGCAGTGAGGACATCAATCGGTATTGTTTCCCTTTGGGTTTCACAGAAAGCTAGGTAGCATGTACCAAAACATGGAGCCTCATCACTAATATTAAATGGATGCTATGAAAAGATGAGATCCCTTAGCATCTCCCAACTACAGCCTCTGTTGCCACATGCAGTGACCAGGCTGCGGGGCAAGACTCCCTTGGTCTGAGCATGGAAACTGCTGCTGCTGCTTTTCTCTGTTTGTTTCTTTTCTTTTTTTTCTTTTCTCTGTTTTGTTTTTTTTTCTCTGGGTGTTTCTCTGTTGGCTGGGATGCTGTTCAAAAGGGATGATGCTGAATATGATGTTCAAAGCACCAAGCACAAGGAGTCTGCTCCGACCGGTGCTGCCCTCTTCCCTCTAGGCAGGAAGGAAAGAGTGCCCAACACCTCCAACAGCACTGGAGGCTGTCTCCTGCCTGCTGTTAATAAGGGAAGAAACCTTTTTCTGGAGAGAGGCGTGCAGTGGCACGCACAGCTTTCACTTTCTTCTTACCTGCATCTCCAGCTGAGTGTCCTCCAGCCCTTCTCCTGGCACCAGGTGGAAGACCTGCCTTGTGGGCTGGCTGCTCTGCTGTTGGAAAGGCCTACCAGCATTTGTGAGGACAGAGCTTTGCTTCAGAATACAGAAGCATTTTCATGGTTCAGTGAAGCCACAAAAGCTGAACACTTGCATCAGGTAAAGATAGATCTACTGCTGTGGTTAAGGTGAGGTATCAAGTAGAAAGTACTAAAATAATAAAGAAGCAGCAAATAAATATACAGGAAATATGGTTTTCATTCTTCAGGCTAAGGCACGTATGGTTACTGCCTTACCAACAGTCAGCAGAGCTGGGGGTCTGCCTCTGCCCCACTGCTGGAGGACTTCAGAAACACCATCACTGGGGAGCATGGAAGGGTGAGGGAGAGCTGCTCAGGATACAGATCCGCTCCTCAACACCTGCCAACAGCCACAGAGCCCATTGAAGGGATCAGCAGAATAACCTCTTTGTCTCCCCCCGTGGCTGGTAAACCACAAAATAATCTCAGGATTGGAACAAAATGAAGACGTAGAACTGAATTCATGTATCTGTTAATCACCCAGAAACACAACCACCCCATTACGAGCATCTGTGTTTTCCAGAGCAGCCTCTCCCTCCTAGAGAAACCTCTGGGGAGCCCAGCCTATGGGCTACAGAAACACCCCAGGCTGAGCCGCTGCTTCCCAGAGGATAATACCAAGAGGCAGGAGCAAGCCCTGACCCTCTGCAGATCTATGGGTCTGCAGTTAGCTGCAGTTCTTAGAATGCTGCAGGGCATGCACAGACCATCTCATGTCTCCTCTACCCTTGCATTGTCCTCTTGTGCTTTGCACAGTGGTAGCTGGGTGGTACCTCCAGTTGTCTCATACCATGTGGTGCCAAATACCTGCAGAGGGGGAGGAAAATTCATCACCTTAAAGCTGCCATGCTGTGAGCTGCGGGTTTGTTTTGGATGTCTGTAGTATGGACCTGGACTTCATGGGGGATTAAATCCTCCCAGTGGGATTCTGGTCTCGGTGTTATACCAGGAGCTGTGGCACCCCCACAAAGTGGGCTGGTCTCAGTTCAAATGTTTTCTTGAGCTACAGAAATGATGTAAGCTTTGACTGTCTTCCCTAACAGTCTAGTTCAGATAAGGGAAACTTTTGACAATTCATGTGTTGCTGGCAAGCTGCTGGGAGTATAAAAATGGGATCTGGGTTAAGCAACCAGCTAGGTGACAGCAACTTCCCTCTTGGAATGAAATTATACTTTGGCAATGAGCAGAAAGACAGATCTCTCCCTAATTATGCCTGAGATACGTTGAAAACAGCAGAAAGTGAAGTTTTGCAAGAGCTTACAGAGTTTTGGTTTATCCTTTTGCTTTTTGGTAAGGTTGGGAGGTAGAGAGGAAGAGGAGCCAAGTATGAGTTAGACACAGACCAACTGCTGTGGCTCTGTGCAAAAATGCATAGGTATGTGATGGGCCAGATAGAGAAAGGAGCACAGTCTGGGAGATTACCCTGCTGCCAAGCTGTTGTGCCAAACTGACAGGTCAATTTAATATAAATTTTATTTTGGACTTGTAAAAAGAGCTATCTTAGCAAAATCTGCTTGCTGGGTTGATGTTTCTGTACACAAAATGCTTGTGGTACAGGCTTAACTCTGAGCAGAATGCTGGTGCACAGCTTGGTCAGTCGTAGCATGAAGGTGTAAGGTCGATCCTGTGTCTTCTACACAGCCTCATTCTCATTAGAGCCACTTCTGTGAATCACCCTTTTCCTAGGTGTGAAATCTGCCATCCCCTTAGGTTTATTCCCCATCAATAACTAGCACCAGCTTTTGAAAGACACCTCTGTGGGGCTGGAGTCATTGGCATGGAGGGTGCAGAGTGCTGCCCTGGCAAGAAGGAGCCATGTGGCGGGGCTGGTCCCTCTCTGGCCAGGTGAACTGGAGGTGTCGAGGAGAGGAAGGTGGTGGACAGGTCTCAGTGAGCTCATCTAGAGCCAAAGGGCAATTGCAGCAGCTTCCTGGACATTTCACAGATGAGCTGCAGTTTTCACTTTAGCCATAACATGCCCATAGGAAGACTAAGCCTAGTTTCTATTCTGGAAACTCCTTGCTTTTTCCCCTCTCATTTCAAGCTAAAATTCGTTTTCTGCCATGTTCAGCCAGTCTCAGGAATGAGTAGGGGAAAGGCTGGCTTCTGGCTGGACTGAAGGTCCAGGATTTGGTGTGATGGGTTTAACAGGAACTTCAGTGGCTCATTCTGGAAGTGAAGTGATGCTTGCACTCTTTTTTTTTTTTTCCTCAGTTGTGTATGTATCCTTATAGCATCCTTCCAGTACTTAAAGGGGGTCTACAGGAAAGATGGGGAGGGACACTCTATCAGGGAGTGTAGGGATAGGATGAGGGGTAATGATTTTAAACTGACAGAGGATAGATTCAGATTAGATATAAGGAAGAAATTCTTCCCTGTGAGGATGGAGAGACACTGGCACAGGTTGCCCAGAGAAGCTGTGGCTGCCCCCTCCCTGGCAGTGTTCAAGGCCAGGTTGGACGGGGCTTGGAGCAACCTGGGCTAGTGGAAGGTGTCCCTGCCCATGGCAGGGGGGTGGAGATAGATGATCTTTAACGTTTCTTCCAACCCAAACCATTCTGTGTTTCTATGATTCTGTGATTTGCCAACTGTGTCAAGCAGGAAAAACAAGCTCTTCTATTACATGCCTGCTCTGGAGCTCGCCGGCTTTGGTATATTCACTTTAGCCTGTGCATCCCTGCCAGCGACCCTTCCCATCGGACAGCTGAGCTGGGTAGCAGTAGATCCATGCACCTCCAGAGACAGGCAAGTGTCTGCTGGTGGCTGACAAGATGCTGCATTAATGCTAATGACATGAAGTTTTGTGCTGATGAGGCTTGCCTAGACCTACCCTTGATGCTGGCCAAATATGCTTAGGGAATGCATTTGTGGCATCCTGATGTTGAAACTCGCATGTCTTTGGTAGGCTGCAAGTTTAGCCTGGGGGAGAAGAAAGCAGGCCCTGCGCTTGCCTCACAGAGCTGACTGCCTGTGAAGTCCTTGCAGCAAGCCCACAGCTCTTCTTGCAGCTCCAGAGGCTGAGCACCCAGGGGGTTGCAGCCACGGTCTCACCTCCATGGGAGGGAGAGCACACTGCATGCAAAACGAGAGGAAAAGGAAAAAATTAATGGAGGGGGAAAAAATGCGAAAGGAAACAAGGCTGGACACATTTGCTCCATGATGCTTTTCACACTTCCCTGTTTCTACCTTCTCCTCTCTACCTCTTTGCTCACCCTGAGCTCCCACCACAGAAGATATTGGATCTTCACCTATATGCTGTGTCTCCCGTCCCTGTCTCTAACCCACACTGCAGCCTTACCAGCTGCCTCTGCCTTTTCATTTCCTTCTCTGAGCAGCTTCTTCGCAGGGTTTTGTCCCCCCGGCCCTTCTCCATTTGCTCTTTGAAGCTCTTAAAGGTCAGCGTGGCTTTCTTGTGGCTGCAGTGTTTGCAGACCTCGGGCACTCACTGGTTGCATCTCAGAGCAAGCTTCTTCCCACTGGATATGTGTAGTCTCATATTTTAAAGACTTCAAGTGGCACACTCATCCTCTCAACAGCTTTGCTGCTCATCATAATTTATTCATCCATGTGTAAATCCATCCCAGGTCCGTGTGGCTGAATATCATCCTTTGAGACTGCTGCTGAACGGATGGAAGGATATGGCCAACACACCCAACAACTTCTTCACCTTGCTTTTTACCAGTAAGACGGGCCTACAGCAATCCAACAGCCTGGAGAAAATCCACAGCAAGGAGGACTCCCTCGATGGAAGAGGATCAGGTTGGGTAGCACTTAAGCAAACTGGACATGGCAATGGGCCCTGAGAGGATGCACCCATGAGTCCTGAGGGAGCTGGCTAACAGTATTGTGAGACCACTCTTGAATATCTTTGAAAGGCTGTGGCAGCTGGGAAAGATTTCTGAAGACTGGAGCAGAGCTATCCTCAAAAAGGGGGAAGAAGGAGGACCCAGGGAACTACAGGACAGTCAGCTGCATCTTAATCCCTGGACAGGTGATGGAGCAGCTAATCCTGGGAGACATTTCCCAGCACATGAAGGACAAGAAAGTGATCAGGATTCAGCATGGATTTATGAATGAAAAATCCTATGTAACCAACCTGATAATTTCCACAATGAGGTGACTGGTTTGGTGGACAAACAGAGAGCAGTGGGTGTTGTCTGCCTTGACTTTAGTAAGGTTTTTGATATAATTTCCTATAAGATCTTCATAGAGGAGCTGGTGAAGTACAAGCTTGGTAAGTGGTTTTATTAGTTTCATGAGTTGAAAACTGACACAACAACCAGACACAGACACAGTCCTGGACAACCTGTTCTCGGTGATCTTGTGTGAACAGGGATTTGGACTAGTTCATCTCCAGGGGTACCTGCCAATCTCAGCTATTCTGTTGTTCTTGAATTTGGCCCCACTATTTATTCAGAGGAAAAAAGCGTCACAGTTGTGCCTTGCAGAGGGGTTGCTCAGAGCCTATGGAATGCATGCAATAGCTACCTAAGTTAATTTAAAGTGATGAACACAGCACAGTCAAGATTACAGTTATCTGCCAGTGCTTCAGGCTGCACCTCTTTGGTTGTGAGCAGGCTGGAAGAGCTCGCTGTGCCCTGGTTTCCCAGCGCTGGGTCTCCAGACAACACCTCCTTCACTGGGACTGATCAGATGATTCTGACTCCTTTTCACTGATTTTTTTTTTTTTTTTCTCTCATTGAATCCTAGGCAGAGAATTTCAGGAACACACACACCCCATGCAAAGCTCTGTGCAGATGCCTCCACTGAGCACCCACATGAATATTGGTGATGGGCAGGAGCACACTGGCCACAGCAAAGCCCTCTCCTTGCTCAGACTTCCCCAGCATGCTACTGTCCAGATCAGTAGTTTTGTAGGCAGGACTCATGAGTCTTTCCCCATTACCCTTGACTGCAGGGGGGTGGCAGTTTATCTCCTCCAGCCTGGGGACCACAGAATTGGTTGCGCAGCCATCAGCTGCTCCATGCATGTGCTTGCTGCATCCTGGGCTTGGTCCTGCTGGGGATGGAGGGGTCTCTGACCACTGTCTGCAACAGGGATGCTGAGATTGACCAGAAAATGCAATTTACTTTTCCATCGACCCACTTCTGATTTCTAGCCAAGACCGATGATCATCCTTCATGACTTTGGGGCTGCAGCAGTGTGAGAGTGGGAAGAAAGAAGGACCTGGGGTTGTGCTTTCAGACAGTCTGTGGCATGAGTTTCACATCTGCTGATGGTTGCCAGTTCTTCTCTCTTTCTCCAACCACAATAAGCTGCACTGGCCTGAAGCAGTGGGTGCGCGAACTCTTCCTCGCAGTCAATATTTACAGGTCTGTGCTGCTGTATTTGCTGTTTGGTCTCTCTCACCCCTCAAAAGGTGCAGGGTACAACACAAATGCCAAAAAACCTCTTAAAATACTTGTGAAAGGAGTTAAGCGCTAGCAGAAACCTGCCTTGTTTTTTCATTTATTTTATCTAAGATTGAGTGGAGAATATTTTACCTAAGATTTAGTGGAGAATAAAGTTTCATTCCAGAAACCTGGAATGTTGCCAGAGTGGCCTGACTGATAAAATTACTCTTTGGAGCAGTTAAATGAAGAGGTGGATATGGATGATGGGGATGTGATAAAGGCGTTGGGTGGGCAACACTCATCTATGGCAGCTCATCCTTTCTGCAAGCAAATGAAATATCTGCCTGAAGAATGAAAGCTTCGTACTTCAATGTCTTTCTGAAGACACTGAAGGATGAACAGTCACTCCAAATGTTGCTGGTGCATGTTGATTCACCCACTGCAGTTGCCAAGGGCTATCCAAGAAACGTGCTGCTCCAGCGAGGGAATGTCCCTGGAGAAGGGACAGAGCTGTCATTCCTTTTCACAAATTGCATTTTCCTGCTCATGTCTTGTGCCCATGCCTTTGCACTGCTTTCACTTGCTTTTAGCTTCTCAGATGTCCCAAGCTCACCTGAACTGCATGCAGAATACATTTGCTGTGATGAGAAAATGCCAATGGATGTGTGATGTGACCCCACAGATACCCAGCTCTGTACTGAGGAACCAAATGGATGGGAACAGAGAACCTGCACTCTGCTGGGCACAGGGAGAAAGAGAAGTTAAATTAAAAATGAAGATGCACAGGTGGCCACAAAACAACATGAAAGGCAGAATCTGATTGGGAGCAGTCCCCCTTTAACAAAAAATTAAAACTAAAAAAAGTTTTGTTTGGCATACAGTTTGTACTGAGCCAGTCGTAAGCTCCACTTGTCTTAAAGGTCATTGTCCTTCCTGTATGAGTATGTCTGTCCTGCGCGCTGGGGCTGCAAGTAAATGATGCATTCGCTGCCTAAGTCTAAGCAGCCTGTCCAGGATACAGGGAACTACTGAAATCTGCAGACCTGACAGATTACAGCATGAGGAGCATCAAAACTCAAAAGTTAGTGTGCGAGGTGTGGCTGGGTTTCACAGTGGCTGAGGTGGGGGAAATGAGAAACAATCAAACTCCTCAGATAGATAACTGTGGGGAGCACTGGGGACCTCTTGGGGAGAAGGCTTGCAAAGCCAATATTGTCTAGGTAAAATGACATCGGCGATACCAGCTAAAGCTGAGATTGCCTAGGTAAGGGTGTCAGCAATGCTAAATTTGGGGATGGATTAGCAAAATGAGGACCAATGGGGGAAAAGTAATTACAGCATCCATCTCGCTCTGGTTTTGGTGGTCTGTGGGAGTCAGATGGGGCCAGCCATGATCAGCAGGGCAAAAAAGCTTTCCCCAATGCTCTGGGAGCAGAGCTCAAACCTTCCCAAGTCTCTGATCTCTCTTGTCTTCAGTCTAGAGCATGAAGATTGGTCCCCAAGTACTCCTCTGAACCCAGGAGTGTTTCTCCCTTGAACTGAAAATCCCTTTGCAGAAATCTTGTAGAATATGGATGATCCCAGCCCATGTCTGCCTTGGTGGAGGAAAAAGCTGCCCACAGTGGGACAAGTGTTTCAGAGCCTGCTTGAGCCCCTGGCCACCTGTTAGAAACAGGCTGGAGGATGAGTTAAACCTCTGCTCTGCTCAGGGAGCTGGGCTCCTCTCCCAGGGATGGGATGGGAGATGACTGAGCTGTAAGAAAGGGTTGGGGATGGATATCCTCAGGGCATGGAAATGATTTGGGGCATCCCATGTAATTTATACTGCTGCAAGAATTGAAATAGGAAACCCCTCCTAGCAGCAGAGACAGGCAGGTTATTCTCCCTCATTTGGCCTGGCAATCGAGCTCAGCATTTCTTGCAATGGGGCCACTTCTGGGGTGCATTGCAGCTCTGCCCATCTGCCCCTGAGGGGCGGCAGTACAGCCCCTCCGGGACACCCTCTGCCCTACCCCAGCAGAAAGGGCCGCCCGGGGTCTGAGCCCCAGGAAGGAGCCGCAGCTCCTGGCCACGGTGCAGCAGGAATCGGGCAGCTCTGCCTTCCCGTGCCGCCCGCTCGCGGCGTCGGGGAGCGGCCAGCATCTGCGAGCGGGGGCGAGAGCGGGAGCAGCCTCCCGGGAAGGGTCTCCGTCAGAGGGGCAGGAGAGGAGGTGGCAAGGAGGGAGAGGAACAATCAGCAGGAAAACAGTGAGGCTGGAGACAGTCCAGGCTGCGAGCGAGCATCAGAAATCCTTAAGACTGGGAAAACTCCTCACACGGTACAGCCTGACCTGTTATTCTCGTTACAGTGTGGACTTTTAAGGGGCTATTTTAAAAGCAAGGCAATTTTCGAGCCGTTTTTCCTTAACAGATGCTGATGTGCCATCCTGTGGAGCTGCTGCGGACCAGCTGGGTGCTCCTTGCAGGTAAATAATTTGTCTCCAGGCTGAGTGAGCTTCAGTGGGTTCCGGGCCAGATCATCGCCTGTTGCAAACCCACAGAGAGCCTGAGGCTTCAGCAGAGCTTTGCAATTGTGCATGGGGATCTCTGATGCATACAAGTTAGACTTTTCAGATGGGGCAAAATGCTTAACCTGGAAGGGAAAGGTGTCTCTGCTTTGCTGTACAAAGACAGAGGAGGTAGAAGCACCGAAAGAGCTAGGCACAGTGCCAAGGCTAAATGTCTACTGCAGATAGATCTACACTGGGGCTGATATATGTAATAACACAAAATTTATTGCAGTTATACTCATGTGAGCAATCTCACTGTCGTCCTTATATATGCACTGACTGCCCTGAAGCACGAATGTACAAAGATTTTCAGGTTGAGCATCTAAAATAGAAAGGAAACCCATTACAGTATACCCAGATCTTCAGATGCTGTGGTGTTAGTGAGCTCTGGCTGGGTCTCTGTAGAATGAGCTTTGAATATTGCAGTTGGAAAAAGATGCCTGAGATTAAGTATTTTCTCTTACCTTCTGCTAGTCATACCACCTGTTCTATATAAATAGATTTCTCTTAGAGCAAGGTGATTTTTCAGTCATAAGATTATTTCTTCTCACTGCACATCTTACCGTTTGGGGAACATGAAGGCACAAAAATAAGAATCAGTAGCTGTTTCTCAAGGTTATGAGAGTGAAAAATGAAAATCATCAGATGAGCTTGATTTACTAGGATTGTTATGCCTATTTTCCTTCCCACCTGTGCTGCAAAATTACCAAGAGAAATCACCAGTCAGAGCATAAGGGACAATTTTCAGGATTGTTTGCCAAGACAGCAGGCGGCAGTGTAAATACAGGCAAACATTTGCTTATGGGGCAGGAACTGGGACACGGTGGAGAGAGATCAAACACAGCCTGTGCAGCTGTGGGGTCAGCACTGGGAGCAGTCAGATGCCCGAGGCCTGAGCATCCCTGCACCTCACTGCAGGCAGACGGGCCTTGGGGGCTGCCTGTGCTGGAAATGTGTTTTCATGACGTCTCTCTTGTTGGGAAGCGGTGGCTGCGGTTGCTCAGTGGTAGGTCTCTGGGGACAGGCTGGGTTCGCTGCCGCCAGTCCCTGTCTCCGCAAGTCTCAGACCTGACACTCCTATGCAAGAGCTAGGCTGACAGCTTCGGTGAGGAAATGAGGACCTTTAGCAGCAATCCTAGCACCTCCTTCTGAGCAGCCTCTTAGGAGTTCTAGGATTGTCACTGCCTGGGCAGATAAATATCCTTACTTTCATTTCCTCTGCCTAGGGCTGGCTCCTTCCTTTAAACCCTTTAACCTTACCTTTTTTTTTCTTTTAATTAAAGAATCCACTTTACAAGATAGGACTGCAGTAGTGATTTCTGCCTGGCTTTCCTAGAAAGCTCTTTCATTTTATTGGGGCTGACATCTGTGATTGACTCACAGCAGCTCCTCTTGAAGCCCTCAAGTACCTGCTAGAGCCCAAGTTATGACAAGCCCAGAAATTGCCATGTGTTTTGGGGACACATTTGCATCCTGCTCTGCTGAGAGTAGGTGGATACTTTCAGGTCCAAACAAGAATTGGGAATAAGTCATGGAAATCAGGTCAGGATTAGAAAGACCCTTCTGGGCACAGACTGGCACAAAATGCCACCCAAATATAAACAAAACTCAAGTAGAAAAAGCTCGCGGTTCTGCAGCCAGGTATCTCCAAGCACCATATGCTGTATTTAGGCACCTCTATTAGCTCCAGCTAGGATGTCTCCCTGCCTGGCAGCATGATGGGTAATGGCCATGGCTTTGTAAGAGCCTGTGACCAAGCAGCCCAGGTACCATGGTGTGTGTCCTTGGCACAGGGGGTACCAAAGCCTCTCCCAAGCTACACCGACTTGCTCCATCTCCCCAGCTCATCTTCCTCTGCCATCCAGGGCTCCTGGTGCCTTTGCAACATCCTGCCAAAGCAGTGGAACCCATCGAGAAAAAATGCACCGCTGTGGGATCCTCAGTGCTGCTTCCTGGGCCAGATAATGTCACACACATCTTTTCCACACGGTGGGAGTTCCTCAATGGCACCCACTCCTGCACCATCCTGCAGTACTACAGGGGCTCTCACAGCCCCACCATCCACGTGCCCTACACAGGAAGAGCCATTTTCCATCCATCCAATGGATCTCTCTTGCTGGAGGACATCCAGGAAAGTGACAGTGGCATCTACAAAGTGACTGTCAACGTGGGAAACAGGGAGAGCCTGAAAATCCTGCTGGAAGTCCTCAGTAAGTGGTGGGCATGGGAGGGAGGAGTGGGGTGATGGATGCAAGCAGAGCAGTGGCGTTATTTGATCAGATGTGGACCATTGGCCAGACAAAAGGGGTTTGGAGAAGGGATTTGAGCTAAGTCTAATGGGCCAGTCATGAGTTTGCTTGAACCTGCCATGCAGGGAGACATCACCAGGAAGACTTTGGGAAGAGATTCCCAACCTGTCGAGTGGAGAAGATCTGGTGGTGCTGCCTAAGGAGATCTTCTAGGGTGCCTGGCTGTGACACAGGGCTGGGATCCATCCTGGAAAGGCAATTTGCCCCCTTGTTTTCTACTCTCAGTGAAGGGATAAAGAGACTGGTAGGATGCCGTGTATCTGCTGGCCCTGTGGAGTGAACCTTCAGCATTTTTACAAGGGAGATCAGGCAGAGCCAATAGAGTTAAGCCCAGCAGAGTGGGGATTATGGAGAAGTCACAAAAAAAATTTCCCCCTCAGACCATACTGACTGATAGTCTGTTTGCAATTTGCATGTGCCAGCTACTGTTGCAGAGGTAAGAGCGCACTTTAAATAACAGAGAAACTCCTCCTCAATATCACTCTCTGCAATTCCCTTAATTTTCTTTGGCATTATCCTTCCTCTGCTATAATAATGTTGCTGTCATAATGCTACCACAGCCCTTCACCACCCATTTCTCCTTTCCACCACACATAAATCTGAATGGGATCTGCTTCCTTTTCCTCTTTTTTCTCATTTCCTGTTTTTACCCAAATGCAATAAAAGCAATGAATCAGCTAGAAAAAAAGAAGCCCAAACCCAGAAAGCACAGAAGCCCTGTCCTGCACAGGGATTTCTAAGGAAAAGGCACCTGTGATTGCACCATTGCAGACTCCAGGATGCTGTGGTCACAGTTGCAGCCCAGATACCCATCACAGTTGCTCTAGGTCATGTCTGAGAGAAGTGCTGGTGTTTCTATCCCTTTTCCAGAGCCTGTGTCTCGCCCTCAGCTCTGGAGCAGCACTCTCGTGGCTCAGGCCACTGGTGAGGTGCTCTGTGACGTGGCAGAGGGCAAGGTGGACACCATCACCTGGAAGAAAGATGGGCAGCCTCTTCACCCAGACAGAGATTTCCACCTCTCTGACAGCCTCAGCATTTTGTACCTGAGGCCGGCGAAGAAATCAGACTGTGGCTTCTACTCCTGCAATGCCAGCAATGGGATAAGCTGGCAGGAAACCTCCCTGAATGTCACTGTAGCAGGTGATGGCTGTAGGGGTTTTCACCTCCCACCTTCCTACTCTCCACCCTTCCCTGGGGATCCCTGGGTGGTTTCATCCCATCCTTCTGCCTCCATCCCCCGAGGTCTGGCTGCCTTCTCATGAGGTTGTGGCCCACATGCTGTTGATAGAACCTCCCCATTGTAGGATGATCAGCAGCAGTTCCCGGCCTCTGATCCCATCAAGGCACAGTCCTTGGCAGGATGGGTGGCAGGAGATTGGCTGTTCCTTCTTGGATATGGCCCCAAGTGGTGGCCCTTGGCCAAGGGGATGGTGATGTCCCTGCCAGGACATGGGCAGGGGGGTGGTGAATGGGAAGCCTGTGGGCAGCACATTGTCCCAGGTTGGACATTTCATGGACCACAGCCTGCAGTACAAAGCACTGATTTGGACACCAGCTGGCAAATAAATTGAATCTGTCATGGTGATGGAGGAGCCCCATGACCCACCAGAGCTACCCATGCTGGTCCTGCCGGTGGCCTTGGATTCTAGCTCCTTGGGTTTTTTCTTTCCAGGTCTCTCCCCTCCTTTGCAGGATGTGCTGAGGATTGCGGTGGTTGCTGTGGTCTTTGCTGCTGTCTCGGGATGCGGATTAATTATTCCCGTCTGCCAGTCTGAAAAGCTAAGAATAAGTGAGTTTGCAGCTGGGGGGCAGTCGAGCCCATATTTCCCTTTTCTGGTGGGGGAGAACGAAGAACATTCCTGTGGGAGGAGCTAGTGATGAACTACTTCCCTTTCCAGCTGTCTAAACATCTGTCTTCATGTCATCTGGCAGGTTTTTATGAGAGTAGAGAAACTTTCCATCAATTTTTTTTTTTAAATCATGGAATCTGTTTTCAAGCTAGGTTAGATCCTGGTGCTTCCCAAACATTTTTGTTCTAGAGAGCTGAGGTGATTGACTGACACTTTTATAGAGAAAAATGTTTCTCAGAAGTATTTTTTTAATGACAAGGCTCCATTTTTAAGAGAGTATGTTTAATAATACACTGTACTGGGGGGCACAGAGCCCTTTCCAGCTACCCACACTAAAGAGCGGGTCAAACCTGATACCCCACACCATGCTGGGTGGGGACAGGCTGTGTCCCACCCTGAGGAAGGGGTGGGGGCTGGTGCAGGCTGGCGTGGGGTTCACATCACACTGCTCTGGGTGTCTAGGGGGAGAGCTGTGGAGATGGCTCAGTGCCTACACCTGCGGGCTGGTGTGCATCGCCTCCATCCTGGCCGCCACTGCCGGGATCCTCTGGATGCGAGAGGAAGGTAGGAGGTGGCTGCGGGGTGGTTTGGTGTGCGGGGCGGTGCTGTGCGGACCCCACTCCTTTCCCCTGTGCAGGGTGCAGCACAGAAAAGCAATCCTTGCTGTGTAAACTGTATGGGGTGAAGACCTCATGGGAGATGTAGAGTCTCAGGGGGGTAAGAGAGGAAGGCAAGCAGCCTCTCCATCACTTGATCATTTTAATTTCCCTTCTGCAATTAACTCTGGGAAAGGGCTCTGGGTGGGAAAGGACTATCATGGAGGGTTACAAAATTGTGAAGGTGGTAGACAAATGCAAGAGCTGGTCCTCTGCCTTATTCCGGGTTTTTTTTCAGGCCCTTCTATTGCAATCATATTGCCAGAGATCGCCCTTACCTATGTGATCGTGGTAACCTTCCTGGTCTCGGCCACCGTGACCTTCTGGCCTACAAAGCTCCTCCAACTGAAAAGCAAAACAGGTGAGCTGTTTTACCAAGGATGGTGGGGAGGGAGATAAAACCGGTTCACAGGGGTTTTATTTTGCCAAAAATCTCATCCTTAACTTCTTAAAATGAAAACATTATTTCTTCTTCTGTGATAATGCAAGCTGGTGGATTCCACACCAGACCATGGGTGAGACCAGACCCCTGTCTGCATCTAGTTATACATGTTAACATCACTTTGTCATTTTTCCCTCGGCCAGCACAGCACACAATGGGCTACGCTGCTCCCGGAGGAGTGGTTTCAGTGGTACTGACGATCAGCTTCCTCATAAAGAACATCCACCTTCGCCATGGTGAGAGGGGATGCTCCAGGGACCACCTCAAGGATTTGTCACACTGAGGCTAAAACTTCTCCATGATATGTAAACCTGATATCCTTTCAAGTCAGTCTTTTGGAGTCAGACCTCCCCCCCCCAAAAAAAAATCCAACAAATTGGAGTTTTCAGGGAAGTTAAATCTTTGCAAAAGCAAAACTTGTTTTCAACACACACACACACACCCCTTTATTGTTTTCTTGTATTCATATTTTCATGGTGTTAATTTGCCTTTCTCCTTTCACTCCTTCTGCTTTGAATGGCGTTTTGTGCTGATTCCTGGTTTGTTTGACCACAGAAGAAGGGTGCACAGAGTTCGTGGATGTGACCACCCTCACAGTCAGCACAGCAGCCGTGTCAGCCCTCCCACTCCTTGCCATCTTCCTCTGCTGTAAGTCTCCCTGCTCCTTCATTTCCCTGCCCCTCCGACTGCCTTACAATTAGTGAGCTGGTTTCCCTCTATCCCCACGTGATCAAACAGCCATGTGAATTATTTAAAAATTATTTGTATGGCTCTTGTGAAGACCCCAAGACCTCTTCATTGACCGTTTCCCTGTCCCGGTGAGCCCCAGACACCATCCCTCAAGTACAATATCCCGAACATTTGATGCCTCTCAAACACTTTCTCCTGGCGCCTGGGAACAGACTTGTCCTTCCGCAGATCACACGACTCAGGGGTGGATGAAGGAACATGACTCCAGCTGGGCGGACAAGGAGAGGTAGATCCTCTGTTGACTTTTTATGTGTAAATTCATACCATCTTGAAGGGAAAAGAGTGGGATATGGAAACTATCCCATGCCTTGTTTTAAGTCTTAGACCCCAAGAAAGATGTGATCCAGTGCTGTGCTCCCAGCCCCTGCTTTCACCATGGGTTTAGTGGGTAGCTCTGGGGGAGGGCCCCATCCAACAAAGCGCTTGAGTGCATGATCAAATCTCCCCACAAATCTCTCCCTCATGGCCTCAGCCTGAAGCCTTTAAGCCTTAATTTCTGCTGGTTTTAGCCCAGCACTTTGGATGTCAGCCATGCCATGTGGGTGCATTTGGGTTTAGCTAACCTGTGTGCCATGTCAGAAAGCCCCCGAGGCATCGCAATCTCATAGGCCTCAGCCCGTTTATCTTTGCCCCACAAAAACCACCTGGAGTTACAGAGGAATGAGTATTGCACCCCCAGCTATTTGTATGGTCTTGATGTGTCTTTGGGACCGGGCAAGGAGAGAGGCCACCTCAGCCTTCACTTCTGCCTGGCACATGGGCAGGGCTGGATGGGCACACCAGAGCACCCGGCCCCAGTGATGCTCAGCATGTCCCACCACCTCTTCCTTCCAGGTCCACTGAAATGGCTCAGCCCAGCAGCAAGGATGCCGTTTCTACCTGTTAGATGTCAGTTGGGGTGTTTCTCACTTGGCTGAGTCAACCCAATCCTTCTCCCAGGTTTAATGGGTTCAGGGCTCTCGGTTTCAGTGGGTGTGATCCTTGGCAATATATGTAATAAATGACAATGAAATGAACCAATTTCTGACTTTTTTTTTTTTTTTAACACAGAACTGGGGTAGGCCAGATGCACATTTTTCTCTCTCTTTAAAACCAGGCCCTAAACTAGAGAAGCGCCTTCACAAATAATTGCAGGAGTCTTTCTCACTAGTCTATTGCAATAATGAGGCCACATCTTTTTTTTAAACACATGTGGGTAACCAAATGCGCCCACCCCACCCTTTCCCACTGCCATGCTTGACTTCTCGCTCCCCGGTGCAGATGATTTCAGGTCATGTTTTGGGGGTGTGAGGCAGTCTCAGGCTTTGTCCCCCTGAATTCACAGGCCTATGTACTGCCTGTCCCTTTTAGTATGGGACAGCATCTCCAGGGAACTGCTGTCCACTCCCCACGAGGATCGCGGGGGGTGGGGGGGGGGGTGTAGCAGTTGATCTGAACCTGCTCTTTAAACTGTTTGCTTAAATGCAAATCACTCAAGACCTGACCCTGTCGGGGAGGGGTGATCCTATCTCCTCCACTACCAGCTGGGTTTTGCTGCCTGCAAGGAGGGGCTGGGCTGTGGGTGGTTATGGGGTGGTGGGCATGGCAGGATCTGGATGCTGCCTACATGGAGGCAGTCCTGCCTGCATTCAGGCAGAGGAGGTCTTGCTCCTTGAGGTCAGCAGCAATCTAGATCCTTATTAATCATTGTATATTTTTCTTTGGTCTTCCTCCTAGTTTTTTCCTGCCTTAACAGTCAATGTCACATCTGCAGCTCAAATCCCCTGTGCTCCTGCTTCCCACACAGAGAAACAACACCTCCTGGGCCTTGTTTCAGGAAAGTGGGGAAAAAATCCTGTTACCTTCAGCTGGAACCATATTTTCTATGGACCCCTCTTCAAACAACCCAATTTAGGAGGAGCATGCAACTGAAGATCATGAGTTCAGTAAAATGGAGTTACAAGAAAAATATACATTCAAATCAAAAGTGGGAGTTTAGGCTTTGAGGACCCTGTGGGTTTACCCCACAGTTAAGCAATGACTGGTTTTAGCTGTTGGGACACAGGAAAACGATGACTTGTAGCTTAATCTCAGGTTGAGTGTGGCAAGTTTTAAGGGACATCAAACTGCAAAAGGCTACAGAGGTCATTATTGCCTTTGGCATCAGCTAATTGCAAAAAGCAAATCAGTCCAGAGAGCAGTCAGATGCAAAGTGATTCACAGACCTAATAAGTATCTCATGAAAAATATCCTCATTCCATCAGGATGCCAATGTGATATATTTAGCTTCCTGCTATGACCTGAGAGCAGCCTGCTCTGCTGTACCAGAGATTGCAACTGTACTAGAGGTAGGACTTAAGAATTCACCTATTTCTATGGCTTTTTAATGCCTCTTTCTCAGTTCCACACACCCTCCCCCAAGTATTTGTGGAAATGTAACTGAACTCTGAAGTCCCACATGTGGGAAATCTCATGACCAGCCCAAGGGGAAGTAAACACAGACCAATGGTTCCTGCCATTTGTAAAGGGAATTTTCTTCCTCTTATAAGCGCCATGTCACAAGAATCTCTAGTTAATAATGGATGGAAAGGAGCTTTACTGGGGGGCATGGGCCATGTTTGTGTATCTCCGAGCCTTATATCCTGCTTTCCTGTTGCCCTAGTAGCAGTGAATAGAAATTATTTATTGACTTGGTGTTTGCTTAGCCCTTGTCAGCAGAGTCTCTGGCTTTTTTCTAATGCCATTAAGCTTAAAAAAAAGAAGTACGTGGTCTAATCTAGCAGGCTAAACTAGACATGCTAAGTGTGTATGGTTGCTCAGGATCATGGCCAGATGGCTTTTCAATGCTGACAAGGATGCATATTCCACAACCTCTCTGGGCAACTGGTGCCAGCACTTGGTCAACCTCACAGGAAACAGTGTTTTCTTGTATTTAGATTGAATTTCCTTTTTAATGTGTGGTCATGATGGGCCCGTCAGTGGGCACCACTGAAAAGTCTGGCTCCCTCTTCATTACAGCTTTTAGATATTTATCCCCCTTGATAAGATGCCCCTGAGCCTTCCCTCCTCCAGCCTGAACAGTCCCCAGCTCTCCCAGCCTCTCCTTGGATGAGAGATGCTTCAGAACATGAATCATCCCTGTGGCTCATTGCTGGACTCTCTCCAGTAAGCCCATGTTCTTCCTGCACTGAAGAGCCCAGAACTGGACACAGCACTCCAGATGGGGACCCACCAGTCCTGAGCAGAGGAGAAGGGGCCACCCTGCCCCTGCACTGCGGTGATGCCCCTCCTAATGCAGCCCAGGACACCACTGACCACCTTTGCTGCATGAGCACGTTGCTGGCTCATGGTCAACAACATGTGTCCACCAGGACCCACAGGCTCTGCAGAGCTGCTTCCAGCCAGTCAGCCCCTACCTGTCCTGGCGCCTGGGGCTGTTCCTTCCCAGGGGAAGAATTTGGCATGTCCCCTTGTTGAACTGCACAAGGTTCCTCTCAGCCCATTTCTGCAGCCTGTCGAAGTTACTCTGGATGGCAGCATGACCCTTGGGTGAACCAGCTGCTCCTTCCAGCTTTGTAGCATCAGCAAACTGGCTGAGGATGCGCTCTGTCCCATCATCCAGGTCATTAATGAAGATGTTAAACAGGACTGGCCCCGCTACCAACCCCTGGGATGCACCGTTAGCGACAGCCCTCCAGGCCCAGCTGTACTTAGAGTGGTTTGGGTTGGAAGGGACCTTAAAGACCATCTAGTTCCAGCCCCCCTGCCATGGGCAGGGACAACTTCCACCAGATGAGGTTGCTCCAAGCCCCGTCCAGCCTGGCCTTGGAGAGACCCTGGAACTGGGTTGGCTTCAGACAGTTTTCAACCCACCCCACTGCCCACTTATCTGGCCCAGACCTGGACAGCTTGTTTATGAGGATGCTCTGAGTGACGGTGTCAAAAGACCGACTTGCCAAGTGCAGTGGTGGTGGGTAGGCGGCGGCACTTAGTGAGGAGCCAGAGGTGCCAGGGAATAGGGCCGGGCTGGAGGCATTTCCTAGGGCTGCAGTGTCTCTCGCCGAGGGCAAAGCTGGAGGTCCGGGTCCTCGCAGAAGTGGAAGCGATGGAGGCGGCTTTGGCTGCGCGGGTCCGAGGGACCCTCAGCCGCCTTCCCACGGCGTTACCGCACCCCACAGCCCTTCGTTACACACCCGCGGGGCCCGGAGAGGGTTTCCCCAGCGCGGGAGGCTGAGAGCCCGCCCCAGCCCAGGCACGGCCCGCCCCGGCCCAGCCTCTCCGCCTTTCTCTCGCCCGGGCCGAGCGGCAGCGGCGCAGCGGCCCCGGGGCCACGGTGAGTGTCGTGGGGGGAGCCCGAGGTTCCATGGCGGGAGCTGGGGCCGGCTCCGGGCTGCAGCCTCTGGGGCTGCTCTGTGGGGCCGGGGAGGTGGGCATGGCGGGGAGGGATGGGGACGGGACGAGGGTCCAGGGGCTGGAGTGATGGGAAGAGTGACTGGGGCGATGCGGCCAGGGATCTGGAGCGATGGGGACGGCTACCCGAGCGATGGGGATAGAGGGATGAAACAGGGGCCGGGAGGATCCCCCCCATGCCGTGCTTCCCGGCAGGCGCTCATCCCTGCCAGCAGCTGGGCGCTGCTCCCCAGGTTCAGCTCTCCTCTTCTACTCAGCCCCAGAAATATTAAATAAATATTTGCAGGCAGGCAAGTAAGTCCTCACAGTGCTGTTTATAGAGCTCCCAAACAACCCGCCTCTCCCCCCATCCCTTCCCTGGTTATTTGAGCACTTCCAGAGAGCTCTGCTCCAGCATCTGCAGCCTTGCCACCACGATGGTGCATCTTCTGGCTTTGTCCAGCCGCCTGCTAAGCCCCGGTCCCCCACGGCACCGGCACCGGCAGAGCTGGACACTCTGCTGGCAGCAGGCCAGTGGCTTGCTGAAGCCACCTCGCATGTGGAGAAACTCATCATGGCACTTGCAGTTGGGTTTGGTGGCCTTTTTTTGCACATGTGTTTTGGGCTACTCGGTCCCAGGAGTCTTTGTCAAGTTTAATTTATCTGTCCTGATGGCAGGATGTGAAGTGCATTAGGCAAGGGCAGGGTGAAGTTACAGAAGTCTCTGAAGTAACTCATAATTCGTTTATGAGGAAAGGGGTTTCTTGGTTTATTTTCAACTGCACTTAGGCATAAAGGTGCTTTTTTCTAGATTAGTGTTACACCTGCTTCTTTTTTGGTTACTCTCATTTCTGATCTGAGCACAAACAGATCACAGTTTGCATCAGCCATAAAGAACCTTCACAACAATCCTGCTGCATACAGGGGACCTGGAGGTTTAGCTGAAGGTATTTTTCCCTTCCCTGCAAACCATTACTGCTGAGTGGCATTTCAGAATTTCTCTACCAATCATCAGTTGTAGCTGTTCCCCATTGCCATTCTTTTTGCCATGCCTCTGCAGATGTGAGACTGAGAGCAGAGCTAGACGTTGGGTTTCATATTTGCTAATGTGACATTTAATCTTGCAAAGCTGTGGGATGACTTATAATAGGATCATTTGCATCTTTTGTTTTTATTATGTCAGGAAAGACCAAAGAGTCATTACAAAGGCTTCTGTTATCTGTTAACCTAGGCCAGGGGAAATACATGCTTGTAACCACTCCTAATGTAAGCTCATGTGTTATGCCATGCTTGTTCAGCAGACATGCCCCCAGGTTAACGTGGTGGTTGAGCAGAGCCAGCCAGCCCCACAGCCCACGCTTACAGAACGCTTAACCCGAGACCTCCCCCACTGTCCTTTTGCCAGGGGTTGGTAAAGACTTTCCTTTTTACCCATCACCTTTACTCTCCTAGCGTGGCTGCACGGGTGCTGGCAAAATGATAATGCTGGAGCTAACGGCAAAACACAGCACCTGTTCCTGTGCTGACAGCGTCACCCTGCATGCAGCTGCAGCTCTATTTGCCAGCACACCACCAGCCCCTTTGGCTCACCGCAGATGTTGGCAGCTGCCAACATCTATGCTACATGCAAACCACCAGAGGAAGGAGGAGGTGGTTGCAGTACCGGCAAAGCGGTTCTTTGGCCCCTCTATCCCTAAGGGAGCCTCTTGCCCCTCTCCAGCAGCAGGGAGGCCTCACTCACTGCCTTGCCTGCAGAAGGCTGATAAATAGCAGCAGATCCCAAAGCCTGGAAGAGCTTTGTCGTGCTGGGGAGCTTCCCTTCCCCAACACAGACAGTTTTTGTTTGGATATGTTGTGCCTTAGTGGTATCATACATAGCTCTAGTTCACATAATGAGCTCGCTCTTTTCAGCTGAAAAACATCTGCCGCACATCCCATTCCTCTTAAGTCTGAATGAGAGGCTAAAGTGCCTTGGATGTTTTTCACAAGTACCACATGCATGCTTTGTCATGAAGATCCTAAGATATTCCTTAAAAAGACCTTTTTGCAAAAATCCAGCAGGCTGCAGTGTGCTTCTGTTTCAGCTTTTCCATGTGGATTCTGTAAAAATGAAAGATAACACAGCATAACAATGATGCTAGAGGTCAAGGTGAAAATACGATAGCCTAACGTACATGCATCTTCATGAGTCTGATTCCTCTCCCTATTCATGTAAGATTCTGTGAAAACTTCTGAAAATATCTGCCCCTTACCAGAAGTGTTGGTTCACATTTACAACTGCTGCTCAGACTGCAAATACTTGACTGTGCTAATTCCTTGTGTGAGACAGGAGGTTATTCTCTTCACGAGATAAAACAGCCTGCATAATTGCAGGCAGATCAAACCCACCCTCTGCCTTGCACAGGCATCTCTTTACCCAAAGTCTCTTATCCATTTCCCCAGCCATGTATCTGAGGAGTCCTGGTCGGTTGGTGGAGGGAAGAAGGGAGGAGAAAGACAGATTAATTTTTCAAAAGAGCAGTAGGACTTTGAGCAGGAGGTGCAATACATGCCATTCTTCTGCATACAGCTTATTCTCCATCTCCTGTAGGCCTTATCCACTCTCTGTAGGCACGGGGAGAGGCTGTTGTACCCAGCTGCACTGGGTGGGAAGAAGGTCATTTTTACACGTGTTTGGATTTGCCTGGATAAAGAAAATCCTCTGTCTCTAAAGAACATAAATGCATTTTCCATAGCTCTTGTTCTTACAGCTTAAAACATCCCTGTAAGCCATCAAGCAAAACATGGTTCTCATTTTCCTGTAAAAAAGCTAAAAACAATTCTTGCTCAAACCTCAGAGAGCAGGAGGATACCAGCAAAAACAAAAAATTAGCCAAAAAAGAGGCTAATTTTAGCACTACAACCCTCCTATCTCAAACCCTCCTCCAGGATCTCAGGCATTTTGCAAAGGGAAAGAAGACATAATCTCCCGCTTCTTTTCCAGTTCTAATTAGCCCTGTTGGTTAACTAGCAAATAAAATACCAGTTGTGAGGAAATCCTACATGTTGTGGTTTGAGCACCATGCAGCCCTTCACTCACCCCTTCCCTCCCAGCCTGGGAAGGAAAAAAAATATCAAAAGGCTCAGAGATAAGGATAGGGAGGGGTTGCTCACCCATTAATGGTCACAGGCAAGCAAAAGACAGGCTCATTAGGGGAAGAAGAAGAACATCACTTTAATTCAAAACACTAAAATAACAACACTTAACAGAGAGAATGGGACAGTGAGAAGTGTTACCATATCTTAAAAACACCTCCCCCTACTTCCCCGTGCTCAGTTTTGCTGGGGATATTTCTATCTCCTCCCCCAGCAGCACAGGGGCAGGGGATGGGGGCTGCAGTCAGTCCAACGCTTCTTCCTCCAAGGTGAGGGGAAGCACTTCTGCGTTCATCCCCCTGCTCCACATGGTATCCCTCTCACAGGAGACAGTCCTCCACAAACTCTCCGCCGTGAGTCCTCCCCCGGAGATGCTCCGGCCTGGGTCACCTCCATGTGTTGCAGTCCTCCCAGCAACGAACAACAACAGCAAGGGCTTCTTCTTCCCACAGAGTCCCGGAGGTCCTCCACAGGCTGGAGGTGAATCTCTGCTCCTCCAGTGGCCTTCATGGGTGGCAGTGGGGTGGCCCTGCCATCTCACCACGGGATACAGGGGGATTCTCTACTCCAGTGCACCTCCCTGCTTCCTCCTCCTCCTTTCCACTGACCTCAGTGTTCACTCTGATTTGCAGAGACTCTACAACTCGGAGAGTTATACAGCAGGTATGTTTACTCTGACGCTGGGGTGCAAGGGGATTTCTCCACAAAGCTTGCACACCCCCAGCAGATTTTACCAAAAATGTAGAGTGTGGATACACATATTCATTGGATTACACAATACAAATATCCATATGCATAAGTAAGGCTGGGTTAGTTCAAGAGGCTGGTGTCAGCAGTTTATGTTATCGTTGTACCTGCACCTTGCTTCCTGGGGGTCGTCTTCAGGGGTCTTTGGGAGGAAGGCTCACAGTCTTTCTCACCTTGTACTTTTCCCCGGAGCATGCACAGATTCTCTTAGCCAATTTCTTGAACAAGAGTGGTTTCAGCCTGTTTACTCATTCTGTCTTACCTAAAAGTACCAGTGTATCCATTTCTACCTTCCGTACATGGCTACCTAGTCATTACAATGACTAAACTAGTTAGAGCACACCTGCTTTCCAAGGACAAGAAACATTTTTGCTGAACACAGTAATTCTTGGCAAGTTTCCACAGAAAACTGCTTTGTTTTGATGAACACAGTAGCAGTAGCCCTTGGTAAGCTTCCACAGAACGGTCAGGGCAAGCAGGATTGTTAAGCAATATTCAGAAATCATTATAAGTTGCTATAAGTAAATAAGTTACAAAGTAGGTGATTATTTCCTCGTATCCGTAGCCCCCCTCCTCCACTAACAAAAACCCAGCACACTACAACAGAAGTTACAGGATTTTTCATGGTCTCCACATACCCACTAACCTAGGAAGAGCACAGCAAGGAGTTCATGCAAGACATGAAGACATCCAGATAACCAGCTTTCTACATGTTAACATGCTTTGCAACCTGCAGCAACCACTCTGTCCCAGATAATGTAAGTTTTCAGCTGCACAGAAGCTAAATCACCCTTAACTCAGGTGATTTTCCCCAGAACCTTATTTTCTGAATTCCTTTAGCAAAGCAGAGATCAGGGACATGCAGTTGGCTCCTCTGGAGGTGGGGACATCCTGGTCTGGAGGTCTCTCTTGCAGGGGTGAACATGACATACCCTCGCTGTCTTCTCCTTCCTTAGGTTTTGGGGTTGTTTGTTTGGTTTTTTTCTCTTCACCTTTGTGGGGACAGTGGGCTGGGCTGGGAGGCTGCTTGGCTGGGTCCAGGAGAGTATGCTGTGCACGTGGGCAGCTCCACGGTGGAAATAACTTCCCTTTCAGATGCTGCTCTGCTGTTTACTGGTGTCTCCGGAGGAAAGCTGGATGCTGCCAGCAGGTAATGTCTCTCTGAAGGGAGCTCAGCCTTAAACACGCCTCCTCACCTCTGATTCAGAAGTCAGTTCCTTAGCCACTATCAACCTCAGGCTGTTTATAAAATAAACCAAGTCTCTAAACCAGCCCATCCTGACCTCTTCTGGTCCCAGCTGAGACCGATCACAGGGCAGTGAAAATCCTTTCCCAAAAAGTGGTCCCACTGTCCACTTTCCCACCGTCCTCTGCCCTCATTCTTGCTCCTGAGCCTTGCAAAACCCAACAGTGAATTGGTGTCCAAACACCAAATGTTTCAGTCTGGCTCTGCAAACCTGCTCTGAGCACTAGTCCTGTTCAAATAATGCCCCATCACAAAGTGTGTTAGAGGCAGGCAGGTTGTTCTCCAGCTCTCTCATGCCCACTGATTGGTGCAGTGTGTGTTGCAGTCTCTGCAGTGAAGAAATGAAGGCAAAAGGTCTCTAAAAAAAGTTGGAGAAGACCCAGAGAACAGCAGCCAAAATGACCAAGAGCTTGCAAGGAGAGACTGAAAAGTCTGGGAGCCTTCAGATTGCAGAGGAGGGGATGGGATGGAGGTTTTCAAAATTTTAAAGGTGGTGCATAAGGCAGATGCAGAGCCCATATTCATGACACAGCACAAGAGCTCAAGGAAGAGATGAAATGAGTTAAAACTGAGAAAAGAAAGTAATTGTGTAGGTGCTAGGGTGTGACCATGTGGCTCCCGCTACCCTGAGAAACTCTGAATGTGGCAATTTCATGGTCAGCAGATGCAGAAATAAATACTAAAGGGACAAGGCAGGGCTGTAGCTGCTAGCACTGTGAAGCTGCAGCACACAGGATGGGTTGCAGAAAGCATCCAGGCACTCTTGTCCTCCCCAATAACTGCTGCATCTACGTTGGTCTTGATGCTGTTGGATATCAGTGGTCTTTGTGTCTAGGAGATCTTTCTTTTTTTGATCACTGTGGTGAACTGGTGCTGAACACAGATGTGGTCAGGATGGTTTCCCTGAGCTGCACTGTTACAAGCAGTGTGGGCTTGGGCTGCTGTACAGCAACCCCCTGCTTCAAGCCTGTGCCACCTGCAGAGATGCCAGTGCTGTGGGGCCACATGGAGAAGGTTGGGGGCTCCCCCGTGGCTGCTCTGAGCACCCTTCACCTTTCCCAACCCCTGCGTGGCACATGTTGATGGTGTTTTTCATGGTGTCCTTCACAGGCTCATCCATCATGCCTAGAGTAGCCATCCCAAGAGCACGTTGCTGCAGAAGGAGCTCATCCCTTGTGCTGCTTTGAAAGAGCCTGAAGGGCTTTACCATGTCAGTCTGGCTGCAGGCGGCCGTCACAGGCTGTGAGTATGAAAAGGGACTCGTGGGGAGCTTGCATCGGCTGTGCACCTCCTTGGAGAGCACATGCTTGCAGCATTTCTGTGCTCTCCTTGCATCCCTGCTGTGGACTGTGGCAGTGCTGGTGAAGGTGTGCGCTCTGGGGAGCCGTCCTGGAAGGAACCTCCTTCCTCCAGTGCTGCAGCATCACTGTACCTGGGTACCACCACCACCACCTTTTGCAAGCAGCTCTCCTCCACCGCATGCCTAAGGATTGGTTCCCTGTGAGCCTCTTCTCTGCTCTCTCACCATGGTGTACCCTCTGGTACCCTTCCCTGAGCCTCTGAGCCTCCCCTCCACCATCTTTCCTCTTTGCTTAGATAAGCTTTCCTTTTGGTATCTGTTCCTGTAGCTTGTTCCTTCTTCAGCAGCCAGCATAACCTTTTAAACATGCTAAAAGCATCTCCAGGATGATGGTTCTGGCAGATTTGGAGACTGGAGATATCAGACATGACTTTCTGCTTGCTAAGTCCTTTTACACCAGCAGTGCTAGGATGGGTTTCTCACACCTGGGTGAGGTAGAGCCAAAGGTACAATTCTGGGTCTTACTTGAAGACTGACCCCCACATTAGCTTCATTCTCCCCTGGGGAAACCATAAAACATTTTCAAGACAAAGTCTTTATTGTAAAGGACTCTATAGATTCCCTTTCATGTTAAAAGCAGCTCTTCTACACAGCAGCTGCACCAGAGAGCAGTTACGTTACTCAGAGGTGCTAGGAAACGTGAACATGTGACAAATTAGCACCTTCCAGATGCATAAGGTAGCTGGGTGTCTAACTAAGTGGGAGCATCAGTTCTGCAGGGCTTAACCCCTCCTGAGAGGATGGTGAGGCTGAATATGCCTGTAGGTTTTAACAATGTTCAGAAAGGTCAGCTCTCAGACACTGGCAGCCAGGACTACATAGTCCCAGCAAGTGTGTTGCAGAGCTTGTTTTCCAAGCAATGCTCTTCCTTTCAGGTGCTGAGGGAGCAGCTCAAGATCCATGGGTGAAGCTGCACTGATTATGGTCCCTGTTAGCAAGTGTTGATGTGCAGAAAACCCCCAGAAGCCCATCATTTTTATTTCAAAGGGCAAGGAATTGCCTTAACCAGCTAAGAAGCATTTATATAACACACTAACAAAAATGTTATGGGTTTTATCCTGACAAATCAGTCATGTGGCATGACATGCTTCAGGAAGTCAGTTGGTAACGTAACGAAAAACTTAAAAATAGAATGTACAAGCAGATTAAATTGCTCGTTTGCTTTAAAACTAACTCATTCTGCTCTGGCATCTCCCCTATTTCCAGACCTGTTGCTGGTCTTGCAGGGGTCCTCCGCAGTGGTGGAAATCACAGAAAGAAGAATTGCAGCTGAAGGATCCTCTGTACTGATGCATGCACCAGATATCAAGAACGTAAACTTCACTGAGTGGGAATACATAAGAAACACCACCCCTGAATTCATCCTGCAGTACTATGCAGATCACCAGGCTCTAACCATCTACTCAGCTTACCAAGGCAGAGTTATTTTCTATCCAGAGAATGGGTCAATCCTCCTGCAGAGTTTGCGAGAGACAGACAGTGGCATCTATAAAGCAACAGTTGATCTGATGCAAGATAAAGCTAGGACAACGCTCCTTGAAGTTATAAGTAAGTCAAATGTGTTGAGAGGCTGGTCTGCTCAAAGATTGGCCTGTCAGTGCAGCAGACAGGCCCACAAGGTGGCAACCAGAATGGAGTCATAGAATTGTAGAATATCTTGAGTTGGAAGGGACCCATAAGGATCATCAAGTCCAGCTCCCTGCTCCTTGCAGGACTACCTGACACTTAACCCTATGACTGAGAGCATCATCCAGACACTCCTTGAGCTCTGACAGGCTTGGTGCAACAACCACTTCCCTGGGGAGCCTGTTCCAGGGACTGACCAACCTCTCAGTGAAGAACCTTTTCCTCATGTCCAACGTGAACTTCCCCTGATGTAGCTTCATTCCATTTCCTTGTGTCCGTTCCATTTCCTTGTGTCCTATCACTGGTCACCAGAGAGATCAGCACCTCCCCCTCCTCTGCCCCGCCTTGAGGAAGTTGTAGACTGTGATGAGCTCACCCCTCAGTGATAAGGTCACCCCTCAGCCTTCTCCAAGCTGAACAAGCCAAGTGGCCTCATCCATTCCTCATAAGTGACCTCCATTCCTCAAGGCCTTTCACCATCTTGGTTACCCTCCTCTGGACACAGTCATAATAGTTTGATGTCCTTCTTGTACTGAGGTGCCCAAAACTGCACCCAGTACTGGCGGTGAGGCCGCACCAGTGCCATGCAGAGTGGGACAGTCCCCTCCCTTGACCAACTAGCTATGCTGTGTGTGATGCACCTCAGGACACGGTTGACCCTTTTGGCTGCCAGGGCACACTGTTGACTCATTTAACTTGCCATCAACCCAACCCCCCAGATCTCTTTCTGCGGGGCTGCTCTCCAACCTCTTGTCCACCAGTTTGTACATATAACCAGGATTACCCTGTGCCATGTTGGAGAGTATGGAACTTGCTCTTGTTGAATTTCATACGGTTGGTGGTTGCTCAGCTCTGTAGTCAATCCAGATCTCTCTGTAAGGCCTCTCCACCCTTGAGGGAGTCTACAGCTCCTCCTAGTTTAGTATCATCAGCAAAATTACTTACTGTACATTCAACTCCTGCATCCAAATCATTTATAAAAACATTCAAGAGCATTGGCCCTAAAATTGAGCCCTGGGAACCCCACGGGTGAGTGGCCACCAGCCTGTTGTCACCCCATTCACTATAACTCTTTCAGCCCAACCTGTCAGCCAATTGCTCGCCCAATGTATTATGGAATTGTCTAGCTGGGTGCTTGAAATGCATCACAGAAGGATGCTGTGAGACATAGTGTCAAAAGCTTTGCTAAAGTAAATTAAAAACCCAACACATTTGCTGACTTCCCTTGGTCAACTAAACAGGTGACCTTGTCATAAAAGGAAATTAAGTTAGTTAAGCAGAACTTTCCCCTTGTGAACTTGTGCCAGCTGTGACCAATGACTACATTGTCTCTCAAGTGTTTTTAAGTAACTCCCACGATAACCTTCTCCATAATTTTACCAGGCACTGAAGTGAGACTGATAGGCCTGTAATCACCAGGGTCTTCCTTCTTACCCTTCCAGTTGACTGGGATCTCTCCAGATTCCCAAGACGATTGAAAAATAATGGAGAGAGGTCCCACAATAACATCAGCCAGCTCTTTCTGTACCCTGGGATGAATCCCATTGGGCTTATGTGCATCCAGATGGAGCAGCAAGTCTCAAGGTAGAGGAATTGTGGTTTCATCACTACCTTGAAAGACACAGACTGGAAACCCTAAAAGATTTGCTGGGAAATGCCAGAGGGTTTTTTGGAACTGAGTCTGGCTGTGGGTTGAGTTCCTGGTTGGGTCATCAGGCTGCACAGTGCCTTCATCCTGAAGTGATAGGATATAATAGGATGCCTTCTGCCTTAACTTTTGTCTTGTTGTTTTGTCATGAACAGCCACTCACAGGAAGTGTATGGCATAAAATTCCCTCAAGAGAAGGGATTTCTGCTCACATTTGATGACCAAAACAAACGCCGTGGTAATGATTTGAGGAACTCGGGAGCTGCAGGTTGTGGCTGATCCATTAGAGCTGGGACCAGAGGCTCATTCGTAGCAATTCCAGGATAAGCTGCTGCCTCACCAGCCTTACTAACCCCTTCAGGATCAGATCCTGAGATCAGCTGGGTTTATGGATGCTTTCCACAGGAGGGTGGGTCTGCTGGGCAGATGTGGCTGATCTGTGGCTCCCTGCAGGAATTCACCTTGCATAGCTTCAGGCTTGCAGGCTCTCTTCCTTCGCACTGACATTGCCTTTCTCTGACTCTGAACTTCCCTGAAAAATAAACAGGTTTTGAACTGCCCTTTCCTAGAGCTCAGCATCACTACATGAGCATACTGTATGTAGGACATCCAGGAATGAAGGACCTCAGGAACATGTGGTTGCTGTCAAGTAGAAACCCAGACGTAGTTAAGAGCAACCCTGGCAGGTGCAGGTACCTACGGATGGAGTCATCCCTCCTTTTGCATGTGGCAGGGGTCTCCAACATGTGAGGCTTGTTTCTCTGTGCTTTGGCCCATATGGAGTTGGACCGATTTAAATGTAGGCAGCAGCAGAGTCCCACATTCCTGCTCTTTGGCTGAACTTCATGACTTCTTTGACTCCTCCCATACCTCCTCTCACCACTACAGTGTGGGAAAAGGCCTCTCCTCTTGGGACATCCCATGGCAGACAGTGTCTGGAAAGCCCCTGTCATCACTTCCCAGTGTAATTCCAACTTGCAGCCCTTTTGGGTCAGTATCTCTGGGCCCAGGGTGCCATGCCTGATCTCCAAGAGTTGGTGGTGTCCATCCTAGGGATGGCATGGTGGCACAGATGGGGCCATATGCTTTCTGCTTTGAACTTGGTGGATGTTGCCCTCCTCCTGCAGTATCTTCTTTCTCTCCAAACCAACCTGGCATGTAAGTCAGAGGGGAAGGAGCTGCTCACTCCCCAAGGGGCTCGGTATTCTGGCATGCCAGCCAGTTTTCAGGTCCAAAGCAAGGCAGTACTCATGCTCGCGGGAGTGCTATCACACTGCTCTCTGCTTTTCAGAGCCTGTGCCCCAGCCTGAGCTCCAGTGCAGTTCAAACCTGGCAGGTTCGCTCATTGAGCTGGTCTGCGTGGTGCCAGAGGGAACGGTGGCTTCCATTTCCTGGAAGAAGGAGAGACTTCCCCTTTCCCCTGAAAAGTGCTACCTGCTCCCTGAAAACATCACCATGCTGCGGATAAGGAACGGAGATAAGTCGGACTGCGGATCCTACTCCTGCAACGTCAGCAATGTGATAAGCTGGAAGGAGGCAGCTCTGAACCTGACAGTGACAGGTTAGCCTGCCCTGCCTGTGGGGGATCTGGCAGTTTGTCATCATGTCACAGGTCTGCCCTGCAGGGTGCAACGGTCTGTCGTGGGGCTTTCCTGAGCAAGGAAGACCCAGGACTCATCCCTCGGGTTTTCCAGCATGTTGTGTTTTCCTGGGATTCTCTGTGTTTTGGGGTTGTCCCCAGCACGGGGTTTCCCTCCTGCCCTGTCTTGCAGGTCTCACACCTCCTCTATACCACGCGCAGAGGCTGGCCGGTGTCGCACTGATGTTTGTCGCCGTCTCCGCCACCAGCTTCATGATCCTGTTCTGTCAGCTGAGGGATCACAGGTTCGGTGAGTGCCAGGACTGCACCCCAGTCCCCCAAACTAAACTCTTTTCTCCCTGTCGTGGACAGGGCAGATGTCAGAAAGCCTCAGCCAAGCTCCTTCTCCCATCTTGTTCTAATTCACTTCAGTAGTGGGAGGAAATGTGCTCAGCTTGCACATTTCTCATGCCTCTGTAGCTTGCACAGAAAATAAAAGTCCCTAGAAGTAGCTAATTCCAACTGGCTTTGTGAGAGTTGGAGCCAAAAATATCACAGTACCGAGCATCTGAGTAATTGCTCTCATTCCTCAGGCATCCCTGGGAAGAAATAAAAGTGCAGGACATGCAGGCTGCGTGGGAAGAGCCTTCCTGCCTGGAGGTGGCCAAAGATCATGTTTCATAGGTTTTGGTGACCAAGCACACTGGTGTTTGGGTCATGACAATGGATCCATACCCAAGGAGTGTACAGGTTAATGCGGGTGCTTCAGTAGCAATATATATATTAACAGAAAACAAACCCAAAGACTTAACCAACAGCAAATCCTCCCACACAGTCTGTAATCTGCTAGTGCATTCTACCCACCACAAATAATTCCCGGAATAACAGAGACCATCTAGAGAGCAGAGGTGAAGCCCTACAGCTGTCAGGAAAGTTCTCCCACATGTATTTGTCTCTCAGCATTATAACTAGGGACATGTGGCATTAGGACTTAGCTAGGTCTCCCCTGAGGAGCGCTCCATGCCTGGTGCTTGTGGCAAGAGCTTGTGCCATGTGGGCTTTCCCCCATGACATGGGTCTCCAGAGGAAATCCAGCACTAGTCAGGTCATTACTGGAGACAAAATCTCAGGCAGAAGTGTAAAGTCTCTCATTAGGTGGAATTGGTGTCTGATTCAGCGTGGAACCACCCCAAATCTGGCTGCTTTCTCCTGGTTCCTCCTGAAGTCAAAAAAAGCCCTTGAAAGTTCATCAGGTTTTCTCTTCAGGGTTTCTAAACCTCAGGGGTTCAATCTTTACAAAGAAAACCTGTTCTTGTTGTTATCTTCCATTTGGAGGCTGCACCTATCCTTTTTATGTGGTACTGAGTACATTTGCCGTTTTTTTCAGGAAAGGAGGAATGGAAACATATGATTCTGTTCACCTATGTATTGCTGTGTATCTCCTCTCTCCTCCTGCTTGCCACATCCATCATCTGGATGTGGGAAAAAGGTAGGATTCATTTAACCTCATTTGTTCTTGATTGTTTCAGTATCACATCTTTCTTCTTCCTCCAGGTCTTTACAGTAGCATATTTGTAGCAGGACTTTATTTAGAGAAACTGAACTTAGATGTTCACTGCTCTGTAGCCTGCAAGTTCCTCTTTATCTGCTGTTTTGAAACCAAAGGGCTAAATTTGTCCCTGTGCACTCTGCAAGTACTGCTACCCTTCTCCAGGACTTCTCAAAAATTAAAAAGTGCTTCAGAAACCACTTGATGAGACCTTAAGGAACCATGGGCAGCAAACTCAAAGTTCAGCTGTTCTAAAACTGCTTTGTAACCAGTTCTTATATGTCCCAGGCTGAGGCTACCTATTTGTCATGCCATGAGTGCTCATTTGCTACGTGCTGAGCTGCAAGCAGACATTAAGGCAAACAAGCCCAAGGAAACAGCCCTCTGAAACATGCAGGTTTTCTCCCATTCTCTGTTGAAAGAAGGGTGCTGCCTGTGTGTACGTTTATAATAAATATTGCTTGCTGCCACCTTCCAGAATAAAAACTACCCTCAGCTGTAAGATATGGTCCTCTGGCCAGCAGCACCGAGCCAGTCCCACTTCCAGCCCCATCCCCAGGCCCTGGGGACCCTTCTTGCCTGCAGCCTGCAGCCCTGCTCCTGCCCTCTTGCACTCCCAGATGCAGCACTTGGGTGCAGAGTCACCACAAGCCATCTTTCCCTTGCCTTGTTCTCAGTCCACTGCTTCCACCAGTTTCCATTTCACCTTCTGGTTTACTTCTGCTCCCATAGGTGTTTCTGTTGACTTCATCTTCCTTGGGCTCTTCTTCTTTACTTCAGTAATACAAACTGCTTGGAGAGCAGCAGCAGTAGCGTGGAGACCAGTAGCTCTCAGCTGCTTCAAAATCAAAATGTGTAAGTAAGTTGCTGTTTATGTTCTAAACCTCTGGTGGAAAAGGCCTGATAAAAGCCCAGGAGTAAACTCCTTAGGTTTTCACTCTCAGGAGGGAGCAGAAGCTCAGCATGCTGCTGTGGTGCACATCTGGAGGCATTGCCCATGCCTTGCTTGCTCTCCCACCAAAGCCCAGCTACTCCACTTGACAGCCTGAGCTCCTTACGCACTTTCCTCTCATCTTGAAGCAATTTTTCCCTCTCCCAGGGTGCGGTGTCATATGGAACTCTACAGCCCCCACAACGCTGATCGTGAATTTTTTGTTCACCATCATCTTGCTCTGCAATATCCAGCAGCTCCATGGTAAGGGATGTCCTGGGTTTGCACCACTGATGCCCTTGCTTGCCTTTCTTCTGGGGAGCAGTAGGGTATCTGGGGGGGGGGATTGGCTTCACGCAGGTCAGAGAGAGTCCTTAGGTGCCTTTGCATGGCTGTCCTAGAAGCATCTGTGTTGTAGTTGATGTAGTTGTGGCAGCTTTGCACTGAGCAGGGAGATTGTAGCTCTTAAGTAGCATTTTAAGGTTCACCCTGCTGGCTCCATGATTTGAAACACAGGCATCGCCCATCTCCATGGTTTAGGAATTCCCTGGATTAGATTTATGGCACCTAAATGTTCACAGGGGGGTGTTGGCCAGAGGAGCAACTACTGACAACTTCTCCTTTTCTCTTCTGCAGAGCGAGGCTGCTCAGAGGGTGTTGATCTAATCAGCACATGTGTCTTCGCTGCTGTAGCAGCCTTTATAACGCTGCCGCTCCTCCTCCTGTGGTGTAAGTAGCCCTGCAGTTTCCTTCCCAGAACCGTAATGAGCTGCTCAGCCACTTAGAGCCTCCGAGTTCAGCCCTCACACCATCCTCTGGCAGCGGGTATGAGGAAAGATGCTTTCAGTTAGACAAAAGCCAGACTTTTAAAGAGCAGGACTGTCCAAATCAGCTGAGGACCCAACTCTGGTGTCTGAGCTTTTAAGAAAGCCACAGTTAGGTACTGGTCCCTGCCTGCAGTCCTCGCCAGCCACTCTGCTTTGTCCACAGATGCTCAAGGAAAGTGAGTGACTCCTCCAGAATGTCCTACCATGGTCTTCCCTAGCGATAGCCATACCCTGGTGTGTTGGTTTAAGCCCTGCCAGGACTGGAGACCATGTTGTCGTTGCTCCTCCCCCACCCTCAGCCAGTCAGGCTGGAAGTGAGGCACAAACCCCGGGTTAAAATAAGATGAAATTTAATACAACAGTGTGATAAACAATCTGAACAACAACAGTAGCAATGATAACAACAATAAACAGTAATAACAGTAAACAAGACAAAAGATATACAGAGAAATACCGCAATAGTTATGGACAGCTCGCTCGCGTGCTTCCCGCGACCAAAGCCACAAAGGGAAAAGTTCCCACGCTCCTGCCCAGGAATAACCCAGCTGGAGATTCCGTCCCCCTCTCTGCTGGGGAAACTTAACCCTATCCTAGCTGAACCAGGACACCTGGCCAAAAAAAAACCCTCAGCTGTGGCAAACTTTGGGAGAAAAACCTATCTGATAAACAGGCAGAAGTAGGTCTGGGAACATTTTACAACCCAGGAGAGCAGCTGACCAGTCATCCCCATGAAGTGGGGCTTGCAGAGTGAGGGCAGGTAATTCCATTTTCCATCCTGCCAGCTCTGGGATAGGAGGGAAGAGATCAGGGATGTGATTTCTACATGTCTACGATGGTTTTTCCAGCTTCTCCTTCCTTTTAAAGTTCCTTGTTTCTGTGGTCTTATCATGTGAATCCCCTCATTGCCATGATTAGCTATTGTATCTGGCCTCCCACTGCACAGGCTCTGTGGTGGCCTGGTCTCTAGAGCCAGGTGGCCATCCCAGCAGGCTACCCAGAAATGCTGGCTCAGTCTTTGGCATCACATGTAGCATCTCAGGAAACTGGTAAAAAAGGTAGGGTCAGTAGCATATTGAGGAGAGGATGCCCTCCAGGAGAGGATTTAAAGGGGACTCTCATGCTTTCCCAGAGTGCACAGAGCATTTCCAAGTCTGAAATACATGAAATATTGCACCGAGTCCATACAGCCAAAGGGAGGCAGGTTAGAGCTGTGGGGGCTTGCAGCAAGGTGTTGTAGGCAGAAGTCCACGCTCCACGCTGCCTTCTTGCTTTGATGTCCCAAAATGGGGCTTTCCTGGGTTTGGAAACAGAGAGGCTCTGCCCAGTGAAAGGCTCCCATCTTCATTGCTCTCTTTAGCCAGCTTTTCTCCACCTGTCCTGTGAAATGCAGGGTGCAGCCCGAATTTCCAGGGTGTTGTTGGAAACCCAAGAGTTACTTGATCTTTCCTTTATTTCCAGGTTACAGGAATAAGCGGAAGGAGATGAAAAACCAGCACGCCACCCAGAACATACAAGTCATGGCCACCTCGGTAACTCACTGCCATTAGCTGGTTCCCTGTAGTTGCAAATCCATGTTATTTAATGATGATTATTTAATTCATAATGAATATTTAATTCATAATAACAAGAAAGCATCTGCCTGCCCTCCTGCAGAATGCTATGGGCTTTGTCCTCGCCCTGGGGGGGACACAGCGAGCCTGCCAGTGGCTGGTGCTGTAGTTCAGCTTGGTCGCACAGGATTCCTGGGGTCAGTGCCATGTCGTGGGGAGCTTTCCTGGGTTTGGGGGTGTGGTGGACGATGCCCCGAGCACTGCTGTTTCACCTGTTTCTGCCAGCACTACAGGGATGTGCTCAGCTGCCCAGAGAAGCATCTCAGTGTCCTGAGTAGTTCTCAGGGATGCTGCAGTTTGATTTGTTAAAAAACATGCTCTTCTACCACACCTAACCCAGAACAGCTACAAATAAGACACAGAGGAAAACCACAGGTCGTTTACCCACAACATCAACCTTAAACACACACACCTCCTGTATTCACTCTCTCCCTCTTCCGCCCCACTTTGCCTCAGAGAAACCTCCCTTCCTCCCACACCAGCACCACCTTCCTCTCCTGCCTCCTTATTTCAGAGGTGCCAGAAGGAGTTGAGGATCAGGGGAGCCCTCCCACAGCTAAGCCTTAGGCTTGATGTCAGCATGGGGGCTGATGCTGCACTCCTGCATTTCAGATGGTGCAGATTTATTGCCTGCCCCCAGACTAGTCTCTCGGTGTGATGTGAGAGATTGGGGTGTTTAAGAGGAGTGCAGCAGCACTGTTTGCCAGGGGGGTGCTCATCCCAGGGCTGGGACCACCTGTGTCCCCCCCAGCAGCACGGCTTGCTGTGGGATGTGTCACAGTGTGGCTGAAGAGCTCCCAGTCCCTTTCGTGCCACCAAAGAACACAATCCCTGTGGTTTTGGCAGGTGATGGAAGAAATCCAAGGACCAAGACAGGAAGATGAGTAAGTGGTGGTCCCTTTGCCAGCCAGGAAGCTGCGCTCACACACCAGGGGTAACTGGGGAAGAGCTCCCAGCAGCTGTGAAGCAGCTGTCAGCCAAAGCAAGGCATCCATAAGCTCTGCCTCTAGCCTAGCACTAGTGAGGCAATGTTTTTGGCCAAAATGTTGCCACGTGAGTCTCCAAGCAATAGCTCCAGGTGACAAATAATACTCTCTCCACCCCACTTGCCCTGCCCTCTATTCATAAAACCCAGGCTAAAAGAAAATAAGAGCCATTGCTCTTGCTAATGGTGGTCATCACCCAAGCAGGGGCAGCTCTTCCATAAGCCTAAAATCGTATCAGACTCCAAGCTGAAGGTTAGCCATCCTCACTAATACTGTCACACCACATGCCTTCTTTTTTAGTATGTTAATTAGTCAACAGAAAAACCCCACCAACCCAAAATGACATGTAAATCTCAATCAAGGGAAAAAGCTGATGCTCTGGAGGAATTTGATTGGAATTTTCAAGGAATTTGATTGAGTTGTCTTAACCAGAATGTATTCCTGCTATTAATAAGTGTAAACAACTGCAGAAGAGCAGATTGACTCCCAGCTTTAGCTGCTGGCCCAGTCAATATTTGTTCCAGTTTAAAAGAGACACACCATGCTGTCAAAGCACTGCCAAGAGTGCTGCTGCCAGAGCTGCCCTGCCCATGCTTTTGCTTCCAAAGCTTCAAGCTGACCCTAGTTTGTTTTCAGCAGAGTTCTGTTGGACTCTTCCCACGCGCAGATTTCAGTGTCACCACACAGATGTGGTGCTGCTTTCTGTGCTGGTTCCTCTTGCCTTTATAAGTCCCTTTTTAAGGTGCAGTGAGTCAGGCTGGTGGTTCTCGGCTGGCAGCACTGTGGTCATACCTGCCCCTCTAGCTTGCCCTCCCTCAATTTTACAAGGCATCACCTTCCTCAGAGAAGTCAGCCCAAGTCCTTGAAAGTCTGTCCTGCGCCTGCTCCTGTCCTTCCTCGTCTGCTGCCAGCTCCTCTGGGCGCACATTTGACCCCACTCTCCCAACTTTGGAAAGGATGCCTTGCCTTTGGGAAGGATGACCAGGAAAGACATCCTGTACCATTGGGGTGGGATTTTTTCTAAATATATTTCAAAACATTCCTGAAATAGATTGGCCTGAGCTGATTTCCCTTCCACATGACCCTTAACCAGCCTTGCATTCATGCCATGGCCTTCAGCAGTTTCCTTTGCAGGTTGTAACACTTTAAGTGAAGCTGGAGTAAGTTCTACCAAGGTCCTTTTTTTTTTTGTCCCTCTTGGACAGGATGTCAGCTCTAAAACATGTTCATCCATAAAAGAAAGCAAAGGAAAAAAATACCTTATGGTACTTTTTTCTTCGTTTTGTTATGGCTGCTCTAATAAATATATTTCACCTGGATACTTCGGTGTGTATCCCCATTTTGCTTTCTCAAGCAGAAGATGATTACATCCTATTCCCAATCCCTCTCATGGGTTGGTTCCTGTCCGTTTCACCGTTCAGGTGTGAGTTTGGGGCTTTGCTGCCATTTCCACAGCTGCCTCTCCCCTTGGCTTCCCAGCTGGGTGCTGGTTTGCATTGGTGAAAGGGGAACGCTGTTTTGGGTAGAAGCTGGATTCTTGCTCTGTGTTGGACCTGCTTTTTTCTGGCTGCTGAGCACTGCAAGGCTGGGATGGGGCTTGAGGTCTCCCCTGGTGCAGCCAGGAATCATCTGGGCTGTAAAGCCACAGGAGGGTGCTGGGTGCTGCACCCTGACTGGGAGAGGGGGCTTCCCCCCTCATCACCACCTCCCTCGACCTCCTTACTTCAAGCCCTGCTTTCCTTGCCTGAGCTCCAGCTGGCTGAGTGCCCATGGCCCTCCTGAATCCCCACCAAGCCACTCTGGCAGGGATGCTGTGGGTAGCAGCAGGCTCTTTTCCCACAGTCTGCTGGCAGCATTGGGACATGCCTCGTTCCTAGGTTGGATTCAGGGTGTCCCTCCTCACTGGGGGAGGAACAGTCCTCTCCCCAGCCGGATTTGAGGTGCAGGGGACCACTTCCCACCAGCAGCACAGCCCAGGCAGGGCTGTGGATGAGCTGGGGATGAGTGCTCCTCTGGTATGGCTCGGACAGGGACAGAAAACCCAGGGCAGGGTTTTTATGCAGCAGTTCTTGCCTGTTAAGAGTGCAGCTGCAGGCAATGAACAGGGAGCAGTTTGGGTTGCTGTGGATCAAACCTGGGGTGCAGACTTGAGATTTCTCCATTTGTTTTCCCCACTGAGCCCAGACCACACGGAGGAAGAAGATGGGGAGAAGGACTGATGGCAGGGCAGGAATGTCTGGGCAGGCAGATTGCACCTCTGGGGGATCCACTGGGCTTGCTCAGGGACCAGGGAGGGGCTGTGCCACAGACAAAAGCTGGCAGCAGGGACTGCCACCCCATAGCAATGAAGAAAACCTCCTTCAAGTCAGACAGTGCTGGGCTGGGAGCGTGCATGTTGCTGTGTCCCTGTGCTGGGGCCCAGGTTGACGGACGTGGCAAACCCAGACAGCTCCAGCCATTAGCCAGAATATAATGAATTTCCTACACCCAGATACAGGCTCCATGAACTGGCTCTCAGAGAACTTCAGGTCCCTGGGGCACTGGGCCAGAGCTGCATCCATCTTGGCCCAGCCTGTTTCAGGTTACTCCATAAAGGACCTTTCCAGTGCAAAAGGGGAAGGGATAAATAAAAGCACAGGGAGACACAGCCCAGGTAGAGAGGGGTAAAGGCAGATGATGCCAAAGACCAAAAATCTCTAGTCACCAGTTGATGGGTGACCAAGAACTGACAGGCAGAGCTTTGGAGAGGTCAAATTTGGAGTTTGCAGCTGGTAAAAGGGGGGAATCAGGAGGAAGATAAGGATTTGGTTTATTTGAGGAGGGGATGCAGCACTGTGCAAAACTGTTGGAATGGCTGGGGGAAGGGGTAGAGAGGAGGAGGGGAAAAGAGTCTGGTTGTGTGTAATCAGGGCTTGTCTGACCAAGCCCTGATCACCACAGTCTGCCCCAGCTTCTTAATAAATCCTTTCTTAACTATCTATATGTGTCATCTCACTCTCCATCTGGTGCAGGATGTGCTGTAAGGACTCAGTGCCAGTGACAGGTGGGGTCTGGTCTGAGCCACCAATGGGAGCAGCCATAAAGGTTATACCAGGAAAGATGCTGATAGAAAATGGCTGCTAAAATGCTGACTGCAGATGTCTGCAAGCCTGGGCACTGCCAGCCTGGGGACCAGGAGCATCCTTGAGGAGCACAGCTGGCACACATGAAGTGCAGCTGGGTACCTGAGAACCTGAAACAGCCTGAGATGCCCTCGAGAACCACAAAAACAAGAAACAGCAACAACAAACTTACCATGTGGAAAGGGGAAAAATAGCCAAAAAAAGGTGGGAAACAGTCTGGGAAAGAAGCAATTGGCAAAATATATTGGCTGCTTCAGCTGGAGGGAGAGAAACAGCCTGGTAAAACAAAAATTGGTCTGAGAAAAATAGAAAGTAACATTATCTATGGGTTGTTCCAGGTGAAACAGAAACATCTGCTCCAAACAGTGGTGTCCTACGCCCCCTCATGTTGCTATGGTATAAAACTCATTTTTTACCTAAAATGGAGCTTCTCCCTGCAAGAATTTCTCCACATGAGTCAGGACTGGCACCAGGGGATGCCGGCCTGACTCTGGCTTTCCTGACATGGATCATCCACACAGGGAGGCTTTGTTCATCATCAACTGGCCTCACTCCTGGGACCAGTTTAATAAACACTATACTGGTAACATTTCAAATAATCCATATTCATATCAGGAATTAAACACAGATACACATACTTCTAATATTGATATGCAGATATGTAGATATGCAGGTACACAGTGGTAATTTCTACATTAGCTTGAAATATACATATACTTGCTTTTCTAAGAGTAATTTTATTGTAACTTGAAATATATACTTGCTTTACCAATAGTGATTTGTTTGCTTGGCAAACTTGAGCATGCCAAAATGCTTCTGCTGATTGGGACAGGTGCTTGGTCGTATTTTGTCTACCCTGCTACGGCAAAATGATTGAATTTCAGTCTTTTGCTAACAGCTTTGCTAATTAGGTGTAGGGTGCATTAAGTTGCCAACACTTCCCAGGGAGGGCAAAGAGACAGACAAGGGAGGAAGGAAATGAAGGCACATGAAGGAGGGCACAGAGGACATGGATGCTGGCAACATGTCTTCCACAGGTATATCCCAGCGCATCTGTCATGTTCCAATATACAAACACAGGGACCTATTTACTCAGGGAACATTAAACATTGCATATACTCTCTATCTTTCCCAAAGGCTATTTTTCCCCACCAGATTTAGCTGTTGCACTACACAAAGGTATTTCCTACAGTCTAGAGAAATTTTTTCTGACTACAAACACAGCTGCTATGGATAAACCTGCATGCAAAGGCCACCAGATAAACCTCAAAGCTAAACCTCCCCTGAAAAGCATCCACAGTGTGAAGCCCAGAGGCCTCTCTGACCCTGTATCACTTGGGTGGCATCTTCTCACAAGTCCAGCTACCCCTGGGACTTCAGGCTGTGCCAGGGCGGCTGCTTGCCAGGTCTTGATGACTCAGGGAACTGACACAGGTTAAAAATACCCTCACCCGGCTTTGGAGCAAAGTTGTTGTGTTGGTTTTAATCCCAGATCAGTCCTCCAAATTGCAACTGCTGCAGGAGTTGGGCTGCCCAGGTGAGGGAGGAGACAGGGGTGCAGGGGCTCTGCAGCAGTAGCAGATGACCTCCCTGAGCACAGCGGCTCTTCCCACAGACCTGGACATCAGGGGTAAATCCAGTATCTCCACGGTCTGTCACCAGCTGCAACCCCCCACTGAAGCCTGAAGCCTGCATGGGTCTGACAGTGGGGAGCACATCCCTCTGCAACCACAGGCTTTAGATACTCCCAAGGAGTTATTTCCCACCATTGAAGATCACAACAATATCAACTGGGATAACACACGCAATTTTATTAGTAGCAACACATACTAAAACAACACAAGGTCTCCAAAATGATTTACAGACAACTCTCTGAAAAGTTTAGAGAACTATCTTTTGTAAAACGTGGCTTCATTTGTTTTATACCTGCAAGTGCAACAAGGAATCTGCAATGCAGCTTAAAACAGAGGTTGAAATCTAGTTTACTCGACCCAAACTGCTTGGTTTCCTTTAATGCTTTAATTGCAACATGAAATGCCAGGCTGAGAGATGGCCCTTGGCTGCCAGTTCCTTTATATCCCAGTTATCTCCCCAGGACAGAGCCATGCTGCACTGTCTGCCAGAGCAGAGGCGTAAGAGAGCTCAGCTACTGCTCACGCCATGGGCTACGATTTGAGCCTCTCCTGGATGCACTTCTATTCTCCAGTAACTCCAAGGAGAGGGAAACCCACTGCTCCCTGGCCAAGAAAGCCCTTTGCTGCAGAAGCAGGTCTACAGGCAAGACCCAAGCAACAGAAACATCCACCCATACTGCTCACCATGTGCTGACCATGGCTCGAAGCAAGAGGAGGTCCCCAAGACACCAGCTGCTCTGGGAAAGAAATGACCACCCAATACCTAGATGAGGGTACCTGAAACACCTGCCCCCACAGCGGTGCTGGGGACCAGCTCAGACAGGGTGCTGGACCTGGGGTTGTCCCCATCAGAATGAAAGAGGGGTACAAATGCCCCCATCTAACCATCAGCAAGGCACTTTGTGAGGTCCAGCACTCCTGGGAGAGCATCCTGTTTTCTCCAGGGTGAAGATGCCAGTTATGCTACCAGGCTAAATAATTTTGGCTACAAGAAGGAATAATGACCCCTTCACAAGCAAAGCCCAGGAGAGCTTTGCAGAAGCAGCATGGGGAAGGGAGGCGACAGGACTAAGGGCCTGGAATTAGGGCTGCCCTGGCCATAGCAAACCAGTCCAAGTCTACCATCACCTTCAGGAGGGGCAAAAGGGAAGGACAAGCTTGCATCGGCACTCATACGACACAGATGGCTAGTGCTTGGAAGAGGAGGGGACGTCCCCAGATCTCACCAAAGCCCAAGGCTGGAGGACAGAGGAGTGGGCTCAGGAGCATCCCTACATCTCCCATGCAAGGCTGCGTCACTGTTCTAACATAACCAGGACTTCTTTGGGGTTTCCTTTCTAAAATAAAACTACTTTACGGCTCCTACATTCCCTGCCACCTTCTACTGACTCCACTCATCTCCTGGACTCCCCAGTGCACACAACAGCAAAATCCTGCCCTTCTTCCTCCCTCTGAGGACCAAACTGAGTAGAATGCCCACAGTCTCAGCCCCTGAGCTGCCCTGGCAATTCCCAGGCACAGCAGCACACCCGGAGGCCGCAGTGAGGGGCTCAAGCCCTGGGGAGGCAGGGGCTGGCACCGCAGCACCCCCCAGCAGCCACCACTGGGGATGGCAGCTCTTTCCAGAGCCGTCAGCCCATCTGCAAGCACTGACTCCCCACGGTCTCTGGAGGAAGCCAGGAGAGGTAAGGAGGTCTGGAGCACAGCAGCAGGGCCACTAGGTGTGGCCATGCCCACCTCTCCCCCAGGGATGTGCAAGGGCCCTGGGGAAAAGCAGGATGACGTAGAAATAGTCCAAGACAGTGTTTTACAAAAAAAATATTTGTTGGGTTCAACAGCTTGAGCAATTCAGAGGTGACCCCAGAAGAGGCTGGGACAGCATCAGACATCCAGTGCTCCCCAGGCAGAATCCACCACCACCACCATCAGGGAAGGCAGCAAGGCCGCAGCCACTCAAGCTCTCTACCTGCAAGGAGAAAAGAGGTCTCCATCTAAGCCATCTCCTCGGTGTGGACCCTCCATCTGCCACCCACCCAGACCCCCTCGGAGGCCTCAGGCAGCTGCAGGGTGTCACATGCTGGCGGTGGCAGTGCTAAGGAGGTCTGGACTTGTGCTCTACTCCAAATTTCAGGACCGATCTCAGCCAATTTATCTCTGGGAGGAGTTATCTGGGACCTGGCTGCACAAAACAACCAAGAGCTCTCTTATTTTCAACTGGCCACAACATGGGATGGAGTTTCGTATTCTTAGGGGATCACATCCTTGTCCTCACCCTCCAGAAAGCTTCAGTTCACAGCCTGAGTTCTCTGTGGTCACACAGAGTGAGCAAGCTCCGAGAAGATTTCGAGAATCACTCACTTCCCAGAAACCTCTAGAGCCCTTTGGAGAATTAAAAAAACCCACCCATTAAGAAGTACGTTTCAGAGTGGGTCTGCACATCCTCTGCATCTGCTGCACCCCAGAGGCTGCAACTTGTCTTATGCCAACCTGGAAAGCATTACTGGGAACCAGAGTTTGGCCCCATGTGAGCTACAGACGTGCTTTGGAAAAGCTGGGTGTTTCCCCTCCAGGCAAGCTTCTGCTCTCCCAAAAAACACAGCATGAGTTTTTGACTGCTTGTGCAATGGGAAGAATTGGGACAGGACGAGCACTTAATACACCAGTACACATGACTTCAGAAAATGTGTAATGGGAATTAAAAAGCCAGTGTAGAGGGAGAACAGGTGATGGAGCAAATGGATGATGGGCCAGCAGGAACTCCAAGTTCCCCGCTGCCAGTGAGCCTGCACTCCCCGGCTCCTGCTTTGACAGAGATAACCAGCGCTATCACACTTTGGGTGGGGGAATCAAGGATATTTCCAGAGCAAATCACAGTGGGGACTAAACAGCAGGGACAGCAAATCCCTTTGAGCCCCTGGAGAGGGGAGAGCAAGCCCTGGGCTGCCTCTTAAATCTGCAAGGAGACACTGGCAAAGGACCCCAAGCCCTCCCACTTGTCCAGCTTAGTTCCAAGCCAACAATAAATTTTGGCTTGTAGCTATGGCTGGAGGAGCAGGGACACCCCCAGGAGAGAGGCTGAAGGCTTCTTACCGACAGACATTGTGACATGGGCAGTCCCTTGTCCTGCACCAGACGAAGACACCTGGGGACAAACCAGTCATCATCTCCATGAAACACCCTGGACATGGTGCTTGGACAAAGCATGGCAACACTCAGCCAGGAAACCCGGAGCCAGGTGGGTATATAGGGTCCAGAGGAAACCACACCTGCCCATCTCCACACTGCCCCAGAGGCAGCGGATGCCTCAGCCCAGCCGATGGCCAGAGAGCAGAGCCAGCCACGGGCTCTGGCCATGTGCAAGCAGGTACAAGGGGAGTGTCACAGGGATGTCGAGCACAGGAGCACAGCAATGAGCTCTTCCAGCACCTACCCAGCGCCTGGAGGCTTTTCACAGGAAAAACCTGAAAACTTTGTGCAATAGCAAAACACAGATATAAATCACCTAGGGAGAACCTCCTGCTTCTATTTTAAACTGGCAGATCCTGTTCTCAGATCTGGACTTGGGTGTTTCTTTTTATTTTTTCCCCTCCAAGTTTGCAGTTGGCAATCTGAAAATTAAAATCCACACTTTGCCACAGACTGGAGATGGGCTGGAAAAAGTGTTCTCCAGCTCCAAAAAAGGAGGAAAAGCAAGACCACTGAGTAAGAGTTTCCCTTCTGTGGGCAGAAAACTGCAGCAGACCGAGGCATGAAGGGCTCAGTGCTCTTACCCCTAGAAGGGATGTGCAACATCCCCCAGTGATCATGGGACTTGGCGGGGGGGATGGGGCGGGGGACACAGATAAGGAAAGTAAAGTATAATCTCATGTCTGCTCTGGACACACGGAGCAGACATGAGCAGACACTCTGTCTGGGAGCAGGGAGGCAAGGGAAGGTGATGGAGGACAACACTGCCTCCTTGGACTGGTGATGCCCTGCTTGAAACAACATCAGGGATGAAGTCCCAGCCCCTGCCCATGGGATGCCTGGGTGGGAAACCCAGGTCCCCGCAAGGACATGCCACATCAGCCAGCACAGACCCTCTCACCCCATCCCTTCTCGCATGCAGCACCTGCCGTAGCACCCACCGCATGCAGCAGCCAGCCAAAAAGCCATGGTAAAGACTCACCTGCAAGCGAGCCAACAATAATACATGCCAGGATCATGGGCAACACCACGTTCGCAGCATCTGCAAAGGAGAGGATCCACAGTCTCTGCAGCCAGACTGAACTTAACCCCCTACCCACACCCTTCAAGCAAAAACCTCCCACCGGGCAGTTATGCTCGGCACAAGGACACAAAAGGACCAGGCGAGAAGATATCTGGGCCATTTCCCCTGTTTCTTTTCCCAGTCATCAGGAAGAAATCCCCACTTACTCTGGACATGGAGCAGGAAGGAGGTTTCATTCTGGCTGACTTCGTTGCGGACCACGCAAGCATAGTAGCCGCTGTCATTCATTGACGCTTTAACAATGCATAGGGTGGTGTTGTCAACAAACTGGATGTGGTCGCTTCCCAGCAGCAGCTCCCCATTTTTCTTCCACCAGTACAAGTCTGCCTTCCCGTCCAGGACATTGCAAACCAGTTTGGTGTTGCCTCCTGCCTTCACTGATGAATTGCCCACGATTTCTGGCTCGGACAGCGGTTCTGCGAGAGATGGAGCGACGGTCAGCATTCAAACCTGGAGCACCTCCCTCCGCAGCAATTCAAGCTCTCCATCTGCGGCAGAGGGTTTGCTATCATCTCACCACTCACCAACAACGCGCAGCTGGAACCAGTCCGTGGCGTCTGACTCGGACCTGAACCGGTACAGCCCGTCATCTTCCCGCTGCAGCACGATCTGCAGTGAGAAGTCCGTTTCATTGAACCTCGTGCGATTCTCGTAGGGGCGTGACGTGTTGGTGGGTCTATCAGGAGCAGAACTGACAATGACACCTTCCCACGGGCCAGTTTTGTATTCCCAGGCGACAACTTTGCTGGCCTTTAGTGGCGGTACCGTCAGAAGCACAGTGCAGCCCACAGCCGAGACAAGTCTCTCTGATGCCGGCCTGAGGTCAGCAGAATAGCATGGAGAAAGCGTGCGGGCTGAAAAAGAAATCCGATATTACTCTACAGCTACTGAGATTCCACTTTCTCCACCCGGGAGCTGGCTGCAGAAACCCTCCCCAGCTCAACCGCTCTGCAAACACCAGCTCTGGGGACTTACTTATTATTTCTGACTTCAAGCAGTGACTTGGAAAAGCAGGTCCTGCCAGTTGTGTGCAAGTTCCCTTCCTATCTCCTGCCCGAAAAAACGCAGGTTTTTGCCTTAGTCAGCTCGGGACAGCTTCAGCAGCTCGTACCTGGGGACCAGCCAACGGCTGCAGCGCCCACTCGGGGAGCCCTTTTCCTCCCTCCCACTCTCCCAGCGGCACAAACTCCCACGGGTGACTGAGCTAACCGCGCCCAGGCACTTTTCCATCTGATCACTCCAAGAAAACGCGCGAAGAGCTGAAAGCCCGCAAGCCCCTTCCCAATCTTCCTTGAAAATCTTCTGGCTGGGGAAAAAAATGGCTTAAGGAGAGCCCAAGTCTGGGACCTGCCTTGACTTATTGAAAAAGGAGTCAGGAAAAATGCCCGGGGAGGCGCTGCCCCGCTGCCACTCGCAAATCTTCCCGTGTCATCAAAATGCTGCAAACTTCACTTTAAAAAGTGTGTATATATATATATATATATGTATGTATGTATATATATATATACATAAATCAGTCAGGGCTATGTAGAAGGACAGGCCTCTGGCTTCTTTAACCTTGAATCACTGAATCATAAAATGAATCATAGAATGAATCACAGAATGGTTTGTGTTGGAAGGGACCTTAAAGATCATCTAGCTCCAACCCCCCTGCCATGGGCAGGGACACCTTCCACCAGCCCAGGTTGCTCCAAGCCCCGTCCAACCTGGCCTTGAACGCTGCCAGGGAGGGGGCAGCCACAGCTGCTCTGGGAAACCTGTGCCAGTGTCTCACCACCCTCACAGGGAAGAATTTCTTCCTAGTATGTAATCTAAATCTACCCTCTTTCAGTTTAAAACTGTTACCCCTCATCCTACCCCTACACCTCCCCATCTTTCCTGTAGCCCCTTTAAGTACTGGAAGGAAGCCCTGTAGACCACTAAAAAAAAATAAAACCCAAATGATAGAAATCCTCTCGGAGGGTGCTCTGCTCCCTCCATGGGTACCAGCCTGCACACTGGGAACAGTGAGTGGAGCGGGGCGGCGGGGAGGAGAGGAGTGGCCAGACCAGGGACCGGCCCCGGCATGGCCAGAGGAAAATCTCCAGGAAGCCCAAGGCGCAAGAGGGGAAACGCGGACACGTGTGTGCGGAGGCAGGGAGGCCTCGGAACCGTCCCACTAGAGGGAGCGAGAAGATCGGCTGTCAGCAGAGGTGAGCGGAAGGAGCCCAACCCAGAGAAAGAGCTGCAGGCAGAAACTGGCCCTTCATCCCCCACTGGAGCCTGGGATGCTCCTGGCAAGGGTGTGCATGTCTCAGGAGAGATCAGTCCCACCTTGTGATGCTGGGTCAGCAGGCATTAGGGCTCTACATCCCTCCCACGGAAGCTCGCCAGAGCGTAGCTTTATGGGGCTGGCCCCAGTCTTCCCCCCCCATCCATCCTTCTGCTGCCAAGCTAGCGAACTTCCACCAACAAAGCAGGCAGCAGCATTCCAGCCCTTTTTACAGGATTTCTAGTTGGTCCTGGCCCTTGCAAGGGACTGCTGGAGCAGTTAGAAGGAGGTTAGGTCCTACACAGAGTCCCTGTCTCTGTGCTGCCTAGATGGAAACAGCCCCTCTGCTCTCAGGCCACAGCGGGGGCTGGCTGCTCCCTCGGCAGGGCCAGGCACCGGCGGAGATCCCATGGCCAGCGGGGCAAGGGCATCACCAGCCAGGGCCCTGTCCTACTGTCCTCCAAGCAGGGTCAGCAGGTCAGACCCACAGATGCTGTCTAGATTCAATCACAAGTTCAGATCATTCGTCAAGTTGATGGTGAAAGGCAGGTCCAAGGTCAGGCCATGAAGTTACTCTGCAGGTCAAGATTTGGATCAGCAAGATCTGTGCCCAGGCTGGGGCAGGACTGTGGTGGAGCTGGAGGCAGGCACACCTAGAACAGAGTTCAGGTAGGGTCTGATGGCCCAAGGCAGAGCTTAAGTGGGCTCCTGGACCCATGGGCAAGGTGTTGGTGGAGACCCCAGGAAAAACTGGTCAGGGCCCTGACAGGAAAGGAGGAAGAAATGCCAAGGCAACCGAGATCTTCTGTCATGCCCCCATCCAGACCCTGTCACAGCTTCTCCTCTATCTTGTCTCCCTGGGGCATCACACTGTGGTAGCTGTTGGGGCACTGCTCCTCCCCTGCATCCCCGGGGTGTCCTTTGTCTCCTAACACTACATCCTTCATCCCAGCTCTTGTGCAAGGAGGAGACATCTCTAGCCATACCTGGGCAGCTAAAGACAATCAGGAAAATGTCCCTGGTCTTTTCCAGCAGCAGACCAGGGTGTGGGGAGCTCACACAGGCAACAGCAGTTGACTCTGTGCACCAAAGGCTGCAGTAGAAAGCAGCTCTACCGTTTCTCCCAGCCTTCCCCGAGGTCACACCAGGCTGCTGGCACTGCGCTGCTAAGCCTGAGCTCTGCAGGGAGGCCCCCAGCCCAGGGAGGTGATGGAAGACGTGTAGAGCCTCCAGGATGCAGAGCAGGACACAGGGCTTGGAGGGTCAGAGGAGAAGCTGTCTGGACAAAGCAGCACAAAGCTGGCCTGCAGGCCAAGATGCTGGCACACATTTCCCGTAGAATCAAGCAGCTCTACCTAGAAGCTCTCAGCTTCTTCCACGTAACTTGCTTTTCAACCCTCAGGGAGTCAATTTGTCTCACAAATGCAGCAGCAGGGAGCAAAGGAAGTCAGGCAGGAGGGAAGCCAGCATCAGGAAGCTGCCCTGTGCCTGCCAAGGAGCCCTCCCAGGCACCACAGCAGGGGCACCCCGTCATGCACAGCATCATGCGTCCCCAGCTCCAAACCAGGCAGAGAGGACAAAGCTGCTCAGTGCACAACTTTTGGGAGGTCTGGTTGTAGAGATCTTGAAGTTTGAAAGCTGAAAATGAGCCAGTCCCTGAGAAAAAGGTTTGGTGTAGCCTGGCCCAGCCCAGAGCCCCCAGACAGCAAGAGGGTGAAAGCAGCCAGGATTTCTGTCTCCTTTTCCCACTCCATGGAAACCAGGCTGCTCGCTGAACATCACAGAAACAGCCTTTCCCAGGCCTATATCTCTGAAATAAAAGGGACTGAGGGCATTTTGGTCACCACCCATGTACGCCCACCTAGCACACGGCTTGCCACCACCTTTGGCTAATGCCATGCAGAGCCTTGAAACAGGCACCTTTACATCCATTATTTCCTGCTCCATAAGACACCTTTATTTTCTGCAGAGGCGTGCATGGGTGTAATTCTGTGTGGTAGGATGCCATGGGCAGCAGCCGAAGGTGTCAGGACACGGAGGGGCTGCCAAATGCCTTCTGCTGGGCTGTCCCCAGGTCTCAGCACCAGCTGTGAGAGCAGGAGCAAAGGGAGCTTCCTTGAAGGACAACTAGGAAAGCGGGGCTGCGGAGGTGGGGGACAGGAGTCACAGCTGGCCAACATAGGCGGTTGATGCATCCGGACCCCAGCTGGGCTGGGCTCTGGCTGTCCTTTTTCCTCCTTTTTTTTTTTTTTATGCTCTGCTTTGCCAGGAGGTTGCAAAACCCAGGCGATGAGTCAAAACAACCCAGAGCTGCCTTTTACCCGCTGCACCCCAAGAGCAGCCAAGCATCTCGTCCCAGCTGACCAGCTCAGGAGTTGCAGGAGCAACTCTAGGACAGAGACATCTTCCTTTGGGGTGAGCCATTCTGTGTGAGAGGAGAAGCAGGGCCGAACTAGCCCAGATCCTGCTGGTTCATAGGAGGCCACAATCCCAGCAGCTCTCCATCACAGCTTTGGGGAGTGGGAGTTTCTGGTCAGCAAGGGCCAGCTTGTGCTCATCCAAGCCAACATGTCCTGTTCCATTCGGGGTGACCACCAACCCCTCAACCTGGCAACATGTGGGGCTGGAGGCTGCTTTAGCTTCACTGAGGACTGAGAGCAAGCAGAGGGGCCGAAACCTGCTGCTCCTCAGCACTGCATACCCAAAGCTAGGCGTACATCAACCCAGAATGAGCAAAGTTCACCCAGAAAGAGTGTTTCTACTAAGACAGAACCAGGCGGTGAGCACATGCTGACCCCGTGAGCTGCCTCAACAAGGGGAAGGGGCCTCTTGCAGCTCTGCGGGTAGTAAATGTATCTCAGCATCCTCACAAGGAGCTGGATAGTTCTGGAGAGGGGGAGGGAGGAAGGCATGAAAAAGCCCTGAGCCAGCAGGAAACCTGTGGTGGGAAGCTCTGAATCAGCTCCAACCACGGCTTTGCTGAAACCAGTCCCCTCTCCAGCCTCCGCATGCCTTGCACCGTTCTCCAAATTCCTGGGAATGAAGCAGAGGGTCTCTAACACCTCACAGAGCGAGAGCACACTAGTCTGTCCACATCAGTGTGTCTGTGTCTGCATATGCAGGAGGGCAGCGTCTTGGGAGCTCTTGAAGGTCAGGCTGAAGGTCTCTGCACAGGTCTGGCCAAGGGACTGGCTCAAACTGAGCAGCTTGAGGCAGACCCAGGTGAGTTTAGGGGAAAGGACAAGGCTGAAAAATCAAAGTCTCAATTTAAATAGATTGCTGGGACCATGGTTTGTAGACTACCACATGGCAGAAAAGGATGCTGTATATGGCCAGTGCTGTGGGGAAACTGAGGCAAGGAATTGGGCCAAACCATGTGCTTGGGTCATGTGGGAGGAAGGGCAGAAGGGGTGAGACAGGTAAGACTGGTCATAAAGCCTCAATCAACTCTTCCACAAGCCTTACTGTGAGCATTGGCATGGCCTGACCCAAACCAGCAGGCTCTGCTCACATTTGCAGACCCTCCAGAGCCACCCCTGAGCCAGGCTTGCATCGTCCTGCTCATCCCATTACTGGGGATCCCCTTCTGGAGGGATATTTTGG